TATTTAAAAGTAATAAAATCATCAATGAATGTGGCCGTATTTGCAGCTATGATCAAATTCTATTTTATATGTATTCATTAGCTTAATTAGCACCCTAATCGTCTCTATATAATATTTAATTTTCACGTATAATGTCGTATTTTTTATTTTTATTTTTCTAGATATTATTTCACTTTTTTTTTTGTAAAAAAAGACATTATATATTTTAATAATATTTTATCCATCCGCCTCTAAGGTCACATTTATGTGTCATTGTACTTAACATTAAAAATATCCTTGTATTTGTATAATTTTTTTTAACAAATGTTCTTCTATTAGTATTATAAGACACCAATGAAAATATTTTTGTATTTTTTAAAAAATTGTATTATATTTTAATATAATAATTAATATTCAAATATCAATATACAAAAAATAAATGAGACATTTAGAGCCGAACAGAAATAGTATTTTTTATTTTATAATTTATAACTTTTTTTTTTTAATTTTATTACACTAAGCTGTTGTCGTGTCCGAGACTATGCATATCTCAATTTGTGGCCACAACTTTCCACAAAGTTGATGTATTTTCCGACTTTAAAATTCCTTTAATAAAAGGACTTGATCTTTTATACTATTATTTATTTATTATTTTATTATTAGGATGTGTTTGTTGGAGGATTGGATTTTAAATATGCTATTTTTTTTTTTTCTTCAAAAAAATTAAATTAAACATTTATTTTTATTTTTTTATATTATTGTTGATGTAATTTTTCAACAAAAATAAAGTAAAATTCAAAGATATAGAAAATATCCTTAAACTTGATTAATTAGTGCCTGAGATTAGGAATCTCTAAACACTGTATGGTACAGAAAATAAAATGGAAAATAAAAGACTGAAATTTAAAGTGGTGATCCCCAAATCTGACTTTGCTTTGTTGAAGTTGATTGAAGATGCCTTTTCTGACGGATTTGAATCCTTTAAATAGCCTTTCAGAGAAAACGGTTTGAACCGCCGTCTGGTCGGTTATAGCAACCGCTGTCAACCGACCACCAATTTCTCCTCTATTGACACGTATTACAACTTCCTTCAACCGTTCCCACCAGTCACAGAACTCAGACCTGCCTCTTACCCGACCTGCCTGTCCACTGCCAAATTTCTTTTGCCCGACTTCGTCCTTCGCCCGACCTGCTTCTTCGCCCGACCTCACTTGGGCCGACCTCCGCATCAGCCGCCCTCCGTCTTTGACCGAAGACCTCCGCGTCTGTCCGTATATCTTCCTTGCCCGACCTTCCTCTTGACAGACCTCCGCGTCTGCCCGACCTTCCTCTTGACAGACCTCCGCGTCTGCCCGACTTTCCTCTTGACAGACCTCCGCGTCTGCCCGACTTCGCCTTCCATCCGATCTACGGTTTACCCGACTTGGGTACACCTTTTTTTTTTAGACTCCGCCCGACCTTTCTTCCTTTTCCCGACCTTTATTCTGCCCGACCTCCAGACCTTTTGGCTTTCATTCAGACCCTACCCAGAATCCTACTGCCACTTACTATTATTATTATTTTTTGTGCTTAACAATAAGCCTCCTCCTCAAGACTCCTAAACATCACTTCCAGTGATGTTTTAGGAGTTTGCAGGCCGGCATCCGAGGCTACGTCAGCCTCAGATCCGACCTCCATCCTTCGAGGCTACGTTGGACCCGACCTCCATTTATCGCGGAATGGTGCTGGCCTGGACGTTGGTCGATCTTGCACTAACATTGCTTCAGCATCTCCCCCCTACGGAAGTCATGATTAATTTCTGTAAAAAAGGATTCTAACCTTCTTGTCGTGGATGCTAAACTGGCCAGATCTTGAAAGTCGTGGGCTGTCAGGGCCTCGCGAAGTCTGGTATGCATGTTCCTGACCACCAAATTGGTCATTTCGCTTTCATTGATCATCGTAGGACATCGTCCCTTCATCAATCGCATCCTCTCTATGAATTGGTAGCCGGTCTCTTCCGGCATCTGCGTGATCTCCAGAAGGTCTATCAGTGAGACTGTCGGCAGAGGATTAAAGAACCTTCCATGAAATCTGCCTCTAAATCTTCCCAAGTTTGCAACTGTCCAGGCGGCAGACTGACGTACCAAGAAAAAGCTGTTCTTGTGAGCGACAACCCAAACAATTGTAACTTGTGAAACGGATTGTTGCCTACTTCTCCCAATTGAGCCGTGAAGCGACCCACATGCTCAATGGTAGAGGCTCCGTCTTCTCCCGAAAAAGAATAGAAGTCTGGTGGCCTATAATTTCTCGGGAGAGGATGATCGTTAATGATCCTTTCTGGAAATGGCCTCTGGTAAACCGGCCTGTTCACCGTTTGCGGATTCATTCCGAAATGCACCCGCAGAACTTGAGCAATATCCTCCGGATCTACTCTGGGTGGAATATGGTCGAACACTGGAATGTGATCGTGAGTCTGACCTCCCAATCTTTCTTCTCTGGAGAAGGCTGGTTCGGCTGGGATGGGATTATGAGTCTGTCCCTCTAATCTCTCATTCGGCTGGGTATTATCAACCCTCGGTCCCAAAGGAACATTCTCTGGGAAAGTTAGAGGAATCTTCCCCATATCTGTTCGGTTGAAAGTTGTAACGCTTGGAAACGTACTGTCAACGTATGATGGTTCTGCAAACGTTGATCCTGAGAAAGTCGCCTGAAAACGAGAAGGTGACACGGCTGGAAGCATGTTTGGATACAGGGTGAATCTGGAGAATGCCTGATCCAACATGTTTTGCATTAGATTTTGTTGTTCACGCAACATGCTCGTTTGTTGCTCACGCAACAAATTCTGCATAACCAAAGTATGCCGGTTGTTCATTTGTTGAACATAAGACCACCAATCAGTTGGTGGTTGTGGGTTTTCCCCGGCATTTGGCACAATAGGTGGTGGAACGGATTCTCCCGCCGGTGCCGAAGATGATTGCGGTTGTGAACCTGCCATATGGACCCTTCCGATGATTCGGCCGGATCTAAGACGTATGAAATTATCGCCGAAATTGGAATGAGCAATTGTGTCTTGCTCCCACTGTGGTCGCCAATTTGTTGATGTAATTTTTCAACAAAAATAAAGTAAAATTCAAAGATATAGAAAATATCCTTAAACTTGATTAATTAGTGCCTGAGATTAGGAATCTCTAAACACTGTATGGTACAGAAAATAAACTGGAAAATAAAAGACTGAAATTTAAAGTGGTGATCCCCAAATCTGACTTTGCTTTGTTGAAGTTGATTGAAGATGCCTTTTCTGACGGATTTGAATCCTTTAAATAGCCTTTCAGAGAAAACGGTTTGAACCGCCGTCTGGTCGGTTATAGCAACCGCTGTCAACCGACCACCAATTTCTCCTCTATTGACACGTATTACAACTTCCTTCAACCGTTCCCACCAGTCACAGAACTCAGACCTGCCTCTTACCCGACCTGCCTGTCCACTGCCAAATTTCTTTTGCCCGACTTCGTCCTTCGCCCGACTTGCTTCTTCGCCCGACCTCACTTGGGCCGACCTCCGCATCAGCCGCCCTCCGTCTTTGACCGAAGACCTCCGCGTCTGTCCGTACATCTTCCTTGCCCGACCTTCCTCTTGACAGACCTCCGCGTCTGCCCGACCTTCCTCTTGACAGACCTCCGCGTCTGCCCGACTTTCCTCTTGACAGACCTCCGCGTCTGCCCGACTTCGCCTTCCATCCGATCTACGGTTTACCCGACTTGGGTACACCTTTTTTTTTTTAGACTCCGCCCGACCTTTCTTCCTTTTCCCGACCTTTATTCTGCCCGACCTCCAGACCTTTTGGCTTTCATTCAGACCCTACCCAGAATCCTACTGCCACTTACTATTATTATTATTTTTTGTGCTTAACAATTATATTAAAAATTAATTTTACATTCAAAATATCACATCATATAACTATTCAAATTCAAAATTTTTACCATTCAAATCCCAACTCAAAATCCAAACCCCCAAACAAACACACCTTAATATTAAAAATATCCTTATATTTATATAATTTTTTTTTCTTTTTACAAATATTCATCTATTAGTATTATAAAAAACTAATGAAAGTATTTTTTTAATTTCTTTTTTAATTTATATTTCATTTTGATATAATAATTAATATTTAAATACAAACACAAAATAAATAATATTATTTATCCATTTTTCATGTATTGATTAGGACAATCAACATGCTGCCGCGTACTCTTATTTACCGCTAAACAATTCTTTTACTTATCATTTAATTGGTCAATTGATAAAGTAAATAAGAAAACATACCATAAGTTATATTAGCATTTTAAATTTTTGATGTTTTTAATGTAAAAAAAAAATGTTAATAATGATGTCTTAAACGAAAATGATAGAGTATGTTTAAATATAAATTTTTAAAAATTTCCATATCATTTATTAATCATTTTTAAAAATATTACATTAATTATTTATTTTATCTCATAAAGTATTATATATAATATATATTTTTTATTAAAATTTTGTAAATCTTCAAAATTTTCATAGAAATATCTATGTAAATAAAATCATAATAATCAATATAGTCTTTTAAAAAATATATAAAATACTCAATATAAATTAAAACACACTCTTGAACTAGAGTGTATTTGTTTAATATTTATAATTTACATATTTTTGTTATAAGAAAAGTAGAATAATAAAAATATTATTAATAATATTTCATATCTTTATTAATTTTTTTAGTTTTTTTATTTTTTTATTTTTTATTTTACTTTTATGTATATATAGATATTTTTTAAATCTAAGACAAATAATATATATTTCACAATACCCATATTACTAGACCACACTTTGAAGCAAATGTCGAATACATTAAAACTAAACAACAAAAATAATATAGTGAACCATACAGACAATATGTTAAATCACACACAAAATATACTATAAAAAAAAATTAAAAAAAATAATAATAAAATAAAGTTAAACAACATATAATAATTATGAACATCATACCCTACAAAAAATAAAAAAAAATCATCAATATATATATATATATATAATTTCAGATCAAACAACTGTTTCACCCGTTCTATAATTTTAAAGGCGCAGACCTTCCTATGTTCTGGCGTGAGCCAGAAACAATCGGAAGGCTACGCCAGTCGCTCAATCGATGCACGATCCGCGTAGGGACCCGATCGCTATCTTCTCCCCCCGACGCATCGTACCCGTCGCTGGTCGATCTCGAGAAAGGGATCGCAACGTCGTTTCGAGAAGCCGTAGCTGTAGCCATGCTCGACGTCAATCTTGAACGAAGAATGTCGGGAGAGTCGAGACTACTCTCCGACGAAGAAGCCGCAATGACGGGCAAGTCGACGGTTTTATGTCGAAGTGTTGACAAAGATTCGACGGGCAAACGAATGCGCTTGCCATCAGTCTCGTCGTTTAAGTACTTCGGTTCGAGCCTCGGCACGGGCCGTAGAATTTTGGACTTCTTCCTCGCCTCGTCGGCTGCCTTCGACACGTCGTTTGCATTTAGCCGAGCTAGTGTCCACGGGCTTATCTTGACGGGTGCCGGAAGCTTTTTCACGGTTTCTTGTTCGCCCGATGTTGTCGTTTTCTTTCTAAATGAAGTTATGGATCCGTTGTCCGTAGGCACCGCGTCGAACTGCAAGATAAAATTGCAATACTCGTCGGAATACTATTGTTGAAACTCACTTAAGGCCGTTGAATGGTAGCATCGAACCGTCCTTTGTAGAGATGGTTCAGTACAGTATATTGAAATTTATATTACATACTTCATCAAAATTTTTAGTATAGTACTTTACCGTACGGATATGGTACTAAGCAATCGGTATACCAAAAATTCAGAATGAAAGATACTATGTAATATACCGTATTGATAAATTGGTATACCGGATTGTTCATATGATATTAGTATGTATCGTTTAATGCCAAAAAACGAAGTTAAAATTAAATTTGGAAAAAAAAAAAAAAACTTCAAAAAATCATACTACCTTCGTCTCATAAGAAGAGTGTCTCTAGTAGTATCTTATAATACAAATACAATGATCTATGTAGAATAAATTATATAAATATAAAGATGTTTTTAACGTAATATATAATGAAATAAAAGACAAATAGTATCATTCTTATAAGACGGGTAATAATAATTTTGATGTGCAAATATGAATTTACGATATATTATTGTAACTATGATCAAAATATGAAAATAGTATATGGTATTTTCTTTATATACTAAAATGTTTAAAATATAAAAAAATATCAAAATTATATACCGACATCGTACTAAAAAAAATTCGGCATCAGATCATATTATACTGAAATTTTGATATTTTTTCTACCACTAGAGTTCTTTGTTGACGAGGCAAAACATTAAAAAAAAAAAAAAAATGTGTACCTGATCTTCGACGAATAAGCGCGGCGGCGTGCACCATGCCGCCGCCCGATTGAAGGTGTTGAAGGAGCTTACGCTACTTATTCCGGTAAGAGAGCTCACCGGCGACATCTGAGGGCTATGCTCGTCTTCACGACCAGATGGTCGCTCTTGCTCCCGTAGCGCGATAACATAATCGTACGTCGTAATCCCCTATTACAAGCAAAAGTATTTATTTCTCAAAAACCCATGTACACATTTTGACCGAAAGTAAAACACAAAAATGGCGCCAACGGTAGCGACCTTCTTGATCAGAAGAATGTGAAAGAAGAAAAGTTGAGCGAGCGGAAGCGTCGCAATCATCGCCAATATGGTGAACACAGCCTACGCAATGACGCAAAGATTAGATTATCCGGTATTAAAAAAAAAAATCGATAAGAAAGCAAATGCTCACCACGACAATCACGAAAGAAACCACGGTAAAACTACTTCCCAACTTCGAGCTGATATCGACGACGAATTGCTTCCTATCGAGGAAACATAGGACGAGTACGAGGATCCCGGTCGACCATTGAAGCACAAGCTGAAAAAAAATATCCCTCAGTCGACTAATTAAAAAGTCCGAATTAAGGCAGAGACTGCTGATTGACTATATAATTATTAATGATGCAAATCTGTATAAAATTAAATTTTTAGATAAAATTAATAATTTAATGTGGTGTAAATTTACATTGTATTGATTGGACATGTTGATTATATAACAGTTAAGGATTCAAATTTTTAGGAAAGTTAGAATTTGAACGGTGGTTTGATATGATATTTTGAATATAAAATAAACATATATTATAATATAAAAAAAAAAATTGTTTTATCTGATATTTTTGGAGGAAAAACAGAACCTCAATAATAAAAGACAAAACCTACAAAAGAACACAAGTTTAAGATTTTAAGTGAAATAATCATTTAATAAAAATGACACAGAATCGAGTCTTACCAAGAGAAGCCCCGAAACCATGAGAGCGAAAAATTTGCGATAGTTCCGTTTTCCGATGCAATTGTTTAGCCACTGCAACGACAACGACAACGACGACAACAACAAAAACAAAACGACATATGATTAGAAATTCCTGACATTTTCGCAAAACAAACACACCCCTAATTCTCAAAGAGAATCACGGAATGTTACCCGGCAATGATGGTCGAAGTTGTCGACACACTTGTTGCAAACCCGGCAATGTTTGCTATACTTCAAAACCTACAAACAAACAAATTTCAATGCATTTATACCGCGACGTAACGACTCTTTCTTACATTCTTAAGTACCTCGACTCGGCACAAACTGCAAAAGTACAACTGATCTTCGTCGCTCCGTTGATCGGAGGACTTACTGTCCGATTCGCGCAAACAAACACAAGGTAATGAAGCTAGCGCAGCCGTGACACGGTAGCAGCAACGAGCAGAGGATGTCTTCTCTTCAGACAACATAGGACCATGCTTATCGGAAATGCCAGTATATTTTTTTGATCGAAACACGCCCGGATCGGCTGGATCAACGGCGGCACACCAAATGTACAATCCGAAAGACGACAAAAGCTGAAAAAACACACGATCGGGAATTTATAGAACTGTAAAACAGATGAATTATTTGCGAGATTAACTCGGTTGAGCTCGTTTGTTAAATTAAACGAGACAAACGAGCTGAATACAAATACAAATTTTAACTCCTTAGGTTCAAGAATGAGATCAAGATTAAAAGAAAATTAAATTAATATTTTTTTTATATTTAATAACCATATATTTTATAATATTATGCTTAACTTTAAGTGTTTTACACAAATTTATTAATAAATAAAAATTATTACTCTTCTGTAAAATTTAAATAAAGTATAATGGATAAATAATTAAAAATAATTATTATATAATAAAAATAAATTAAAATTTATATAACTAAATAATATAGCTAAGATTAAAAAAATATAAATCATCAAATTTAAAATATTATTAAAATATATAATTATATTTTTAAAAAAAATAAATTACGTGGAATGAACGAAAATTAAAAAGTATAGATATAGGGCTAATGAAGTACTCCCTCCGTCCCAGTGTCTGCTACATTGTGTTACAGTAGATAATTAAGAATGTATTAGTGAAAATAATTATCCTATAATATAAATAATTATAAATTAAGATTAAGATAACTAATTAGTTTAATTAAAATTAAAAAAAAATAAAATTTAAAAATTTAAAATGCGATTAAAGTGTGTAATTATTTTCCAAAAAAGGAAAGTGACATGGTACGGACTGACAGAAACGACAACATGTACATGGCATATGGAACGAAGGGAGAAATATTTATTGTTCAGTTTTCATATTTTTAGTAATATATATTTTTTAATTAATTATTAATTATATTACTCTAAAAACTTCAGCTATAAACATGAAAAAAAGTGGAACAGGAGAGTGTTATTATTATTTAACTTTAAATTTAAATAAAATAATCTCTTAAATTAACTATAAATAATCTCTTAAATTAAGTCGAACTCAAATAAGAATGCAACGATCAACGATGCTTACACCAATACATATATGATATATATATATATATATAGAGAGAGAGAGAGAGAGAGAGAGAGAGAGAGACTGACGAGGGGAGTGTAAATGGCGATGAGTATGAAGTGGTAGATGAGTTGCTGTTTATGATTTCCATTAATTCCCACAGAAGAGAAAGGGGCAAAGAACACATAGAAAGCAAACCCTAATGCCACAAAAACCGCCATTGCAACCACCTGCCAATTCCCAAATTAATCCATCAAATATATATATATATATATAGATCTAGATAGAGAGAGAGAGAGAGAGAGAGAGAGAGAGAGAGAGAGAGAGAGACCTGTAGTGGATGGTAAGGAAGCTGCCATCCATGGTTTCTCATCTCATACTACTGTGCTGCAATTACGAATATATATACATATATTAATTTGTAACGAAGAAGAAGAAGAAGAATTTGTAAGGGGGAACAATTTAACAAGTGAAGTTTTATGTGTTATTGATCAATGGCCTTGCAATAACCAACACCATTATTGGAACTGTAGAGAGAGAGTGAGAGAAGACAAGACCAAACCTAGAGAGAGAGAAAATGAAGAGGAAACGGGAGGGAGGGAGGAAGAAGACAAGCCGCCGACCTTTTGGATGTATACTCGAAAGTTCTATTTTACAGGTGTTCTATTTTATTTTTATTTTATTTTATTTCAGATTTTGTTCCAATTTTGCTATTCATTAATTTTTGAAAATAGAATATTAAATTAAATATTTATTTTTCATATTATATTAAAAGTAATTTTATATTTAAAATATTACTACCTCAGTTCCATTTTTTTTTATTATGTTCCATGAAATATTTTTAAAATAAAAAATAATTAATTATATTTAATCTCTTCCCTACACTTTATCTCTTCACATCATCTAAATAAAAAAATAAAATATATATTTCTCTGTCTGTCACATCGTTTAATTTCTAAATTATCCTAATTAATACTACCCACTTAAAAACTCATACCAAAAGTAAATATTGCACCTTATTTGAGACGGACGGAATACTATATTAATATTTATTTATATCATATTATATAATCATATTAATTTAAATTTTTTACTTTTTAAATTTAAACACTCTAATAATCACATAGATGGTTTTTGTATATTTAAATTTAGTTGATAAAAAATAAATTTAAAATGCATCTTTAATATTTTAAGTTATATTTTAATAAAATATACTCCATCTAATCTAAAAAAATATGCTCGTACACAAATTTTATGAATATAATTTTATATGAATTGATTATGAAATAAAATATAAATATTTTAATAAATGTATTGATGAATTAATGAGCTGAAAAAATATATATATATATATAAATTGAATGTGTAAATGATTATGAATATTTATAAGGAAATGTAAGTTAAATTGTATAAATTTAAAAAATATGTAAATTTTTTTTGTTATAAATATATATTTTTTGTGAAGAAATAAAAATAAAAAGTAAATATAAATCTAAGTACAAATATATATTTATTTAAAAAATATTACTCCTGGTTAAGGTATTTGTTTATTCTTTGGTGTGTTTGTTTGTATATTGAAATTTTGAATTAAAATTTGAATAATAAAAGTTTTGAATTAAAATACTAGTATAATATGATTTAAGTAAATATTAGATATGATATTCTTTTTATTAAAAAAAAATAAAAATTGATGAGTAAATTTTGAAAATTTTGCCAAAAGAAATTCAATGAATATCTTATTGGAACTGTTATATGTAAAAATTATTTTATTTTATCTTAATTTAATGGAATAATTCCTATATAACGAATTTAAAATACTATCTTTATAATAGTATAATAAAATAAAAGTTTCATTTACTAAAGAAAATAGAGAGAGAAAGAGTAACAGTAGAAATACCCGTGAGTGAAGGACCATTTTGCAGGCCCCACTCAATTTGTCTTATTTATTTTAATTATAATTTTTTCTTTTCATTTTTCAAACCCCACAGTCACGTGATAGCAACCCGTGATTCATCAGCTTTTCCCAGTTTGGAGGGTATTTTTGTCAAGATAATTCTCCAAATTACTGTTATTTCCAAAATAATAATAGATTTTTTTAAAAAATCTTTTTTTATAAGTAAAGAAAATTTCAAATTCTCAATAAAAAAAAAAATCAAATATTTAAATTAAATTAATATATATTTATGCAATTCCTCGTATACACCAAAAATTAATTCATTAGGATGTATTTGTTTTGAGGTTTGAATTTTGAGTTGGAATTTGAATAGTAAAAATTTTGAATTTGAATAATTATATGATATAAATAGGTATTGATGTGATGTTTTGAATATAAAATAAATTTTTATTATAATATAAAAAATAAAAAAAAAATAAGTATTTAATTTGATATTTTTGAGGAAAAAAAATAGAATAAATAGTGTATTTTGAAAAAAATCCTCCAAACAAACACACCCTAAAAAAGACTACATCTAAAGCCTATAGATAAGTATGAAAAATAGTAAGGGACTCGGCACCATGAGTTCAAACCCCCGTATTATTAAAATGCAAATCCGTCCACCTCGGAGAGTCACAATTACAGCTTGTATCATTATACTTAATATTAAAAATATATATATATTTTTTTGGTATAAAAGTCAATTTTTTCTTAATTTGTACTATATTTTGATATAATAATTAATATTTAAATATCAATACGAAAAAAAATAAATAGAACCATTAGAGCCAACGGAATAGTATATTATATATATATTTTTAATTATATTTATAACAAATAGTATCACCCAAAATAAAGTGAGGTGAACACCGAATTTAAAACGGTAACCAAAGAGACCATTATTTTCTATATAGAACATAACATTCTTGCACCCTAGTTAACTTTTTACTATAAACAAAACTCCCTAAAGCTTCAAAAGTTGCAAATAAAAAAAAACAAACACACAAACATGAGAAAAAGATTAAAAACATCAAATCCAACCACATTTTTTTTTAGAAAAAAAAAACATACAACCATCAAACCTCAATAAAGTGAAAATGGCATGGCATACAATTATCCTCACAAATACAATAATAATAATAATAATAATGTAAGCGTGATGACATTAAAAACAAAGAAAGTAAATTAAAGCATAATAAGAGTAACATTTTGGCATAATAGCTGAGGCCAAAAACCATCAATAACACCCCCCAAACCCATATATATAACACAAACATGACAAAAGATGCCTGTTGGAGTTCCCCATAACTCGTTAGATTCATCTATATATAGATATAGATATATCACTCACCTTTACTTGCTCGGAAGCATAGCAAACTACTTGGGGCCTATGTCCTTGAGCGCACAAATTTGTTCCTCTCCCATAGCCGACATAACGCTCACGACAAGATCCTTCCCCTCCGCAAATCCATCCTTGATCTGTATACAAACAGATTTCATCAACATACTCACCACACGTTCGCATAGATAAAATCCCCTTGAAAAATCCAAGTCTACGGCAAATGATTGTATATATATAATTGAGGGCTCAATTATATAATCTCTATAGTAAAGACACACACACATATATATAAACATAAAGACATTGAGGTTTTAGCTTTAATCAAAAGAGTGTGTGTTCTTTTGTGGGTTTCTACCCTGAATTTTACTATTCAACAAATCTTTTTCTTAAAAAAACATCAAATTAAACACCTAATTTTCATTTTCTATATTATACTAAAAATCAATTTTGCATTCAAAACATCATATCAACACCTATTTATATCACATTATATAACTATTCCAATTCAGAATTTTTACTATTCAAATTCTAAACACAAAATCCAAACCCTCAAAAGAACACACCTTAGTGTTTTATTTCTACATATTTTCTCAAAATATTATCGAAAAAATACAATATTCATCAAAACTTACAAAGTCAACAAAACCATACAAGACACCATTCCCTCTCCCTATAATACTTTCAAGATTCCTTGTACTTTAAACAAGAACACCTAAAATTATAAAACCTCATCATATAAAAGCTGAAATTTGACGAACCTGAGCAAGCAGATTCTCATCAGTTGGAAGCCTGAGATCATCCTTAGTGTTGCCATTGTCAGTGAGCAGGCTCACCTATAGATTAGGTCAAAAAGGATTAGTAACTCAAAAAAGAAAAAAAAATATATATTTATATATATACACACACACACACACAATTAACAAATGGAAAAGAAAAAAGGTCACATACAAATCCATCCTCAGAAATATCGATAAGCTGGTAATCAGTGCGATTGACATGTGGGACCTAAATTTCCAAAACAAATATTATAACAAAGAGGCCATATTAATAATAAGGCAATGTTGATTGAACTACACAAGATATGCATACATCACAGTTGTGGGAAGAAGGGACAATATCTTCGAGCTTCTTCCCAGTGAAGATGTCAATTGCAACAAAATGGCACTTGGCATGGCCGTGCTTTCCAGTTTTGGAAGTAGAAACCTCCACAACCTACACCATAAAAAGGAATTCCGAGAACATGGTGAAATTGTCAAACATAATTAAACAAGAATTAGCACATGTATTTATCAACAAAAGTAAACCCCCAGCAATTTGTTTGAAAACCAATAGTTTGAATATTTTCATTCGGAGTAGAACAGTAAATCTTGAAGGTTAATCGCAAGAACATTTCTTGGAACACATCTATATAAAATATTCTAGAACTATTTCGGCTCTAATGAATGACACCAATGCAAGAATCAACAGTGGTTTTTCTATGTTCTTTATTCTTTAAATTTGAAAATTAAATAAATAAACTATAAAGTTTTTTTATATGATATTTCAAATGGACTATAATTCCACGTCGTCTATCCTGTATTTCATAAAACATCCAAAATATTTTTTCAATTAACATGCATTCAAACATAGTTTTCATTCATTTTCTTTACAAATACAAAACACCCCTAAAGCACAACAAAACCCTCAAATTGCATAAATAAGTACGAAAAGTTGCCCTAATATATTAATAAAGAAACAATTCAAAACATGCTCATTGATATAATCAATGTTAAGAACGAAGGGTGTATTTGGATTTTAGTTTCTAATATTTCCGAAAAATTCCTTATCAAAACCATCAAATCAAACACTTATTTTTTTTTTAATATATTACAAAAATAAAATTAAAATTTTATTCAAAACATCGTATCAATCACCTATATATATCAACCAAACACTTTTTCAATTCAAAATTTTATTATTCACAAACACAAAATCCAAATCCAAACTTTAACCAAACACAAAACACAAATCCAAAACTTTAACCAAACACATATATATTCTGTTTAGAACATACTTTTAAATTTTTTTGACAATAATCATCTGTGTAAACTTCACATCAAATCTCTATTACCTCACATACAACATCATATCAAATAGTCAAACTTCTATTATTTCCAAAAATTCCAAAACTGCAAAAACCTATCTGAACGCAATAGTTTCGATGTAACACAAATCATATTGACTTGTACAATCCAAAGATTCAACAAAACGTTATGTCCAAAATTGCAGCAATAATCAACCAAAAAGTGCGATACAGATCAACAATAACGCAAACCAACATCTAATCAACCAAACCAACTTCCATAAAATTAACAGTACCTAAATCACTTGAAAAAATTTCAATCAAATCCATACAACTCCACAACAAAATTCATATCAATCGATACAATCTCACAAAATAAATCACCGACACCAAAATTGAAACAAAAACTACACAAACAAACAATTTAAACAATAAAATCAAACTTTACAAACCAAGCCTTTAATAACAATTAATCGATACAGTTTCACCATCGAAATTACCGACACTGAATTGAAACAAAAACTACACAAAGAAACAAACGATTAACAATCAATCAATACAGTTTCATCACCGAAATTACCGACACTGAATTGAACCAGAAAATTACACAAACAAACGAATTAAAAAATGAAATCAAACCTTGCAAGGCCTGCCTTTGATGACGATATATCCGTTCTTACGAATAGTCCCCGCCTGCTGTGGGAATGTCTTGGACGCTCCGGCGTCAGCCTTCGACTCGAAGTGATGCTCCTCGTCCGACATCCTCAACAGCAGCTGTTTCTACAACAATAAGCAGAATCGGTTCAGAGAGAGAGAGAGGTGCAGTTTGTTTGGAGGGTGTGGTGTGAAAGCATATACGTTGCTGCGTATTGGTATCAAATATAAAAGGAGAATTTAGGGCTTTACGGGGAAGGGGAAAACCAGGCCCACGCCAGAGATCCTCAGCCGTTGATTGGTGTCGTCAAGCGGCGGACGGATGAGATTTAATCGGAGAAAGTTTGCGTCGGAACGACGCAGTACTATATTTTTTTTGTAAATTAACCTTATACTATATTTTTTAATAATAATAGCGTTAGAAATATAGTTTTTTTATTATCTTTGTAAAGTATTTTTTATTTTAATAAAATAATTATATTTTAATATTTAATATTTTTAATTTTTAATTAAATTATAAATTTATCCGTATCTAAAGCTAAAAGTAAAAAATATCACAAATTTTTATATATTTTTATTTATTAAGAAAATATTACTATTTTTTAATTGACTATAAAATCGGTCAAAATATAACAAATTGTTATATATTTTTATTTATTAATAAAATATTCCTATTGAGTGGGTTTACTTATAAAATTTTGGTTTTAAATTATAATTTTTAATAATAAAATTTTAAATTAAAATAATTATTTTTTAACATTCTCATCAATTTTTACAAATTCAAAACATTCCAAATTTTATACTTCATTCGTTCACCTCCAATTTATTCATTTTGTCATTTTAATTTGTCCATCGCAAATGTACTATTTCTTTTTTTTTTTTTTTTAATAAATGTACATTCCACTAAAATATAAAATTAGTTCACCATTTATATAATATTACACGAATGTCATAAAATAACACTATTTAATATCATAAATGTTAAAGTATAATAGTCTTTCTGTATATCAATTGCACCATATATCAATAGAATACTAATATACTAAAATTTACGTGCAAAAAGTAAACAGATAGATAGCCGATGGACGGAGGGAGTATAAATTGAGCTTAAATTTAAATTAAAAATTAATGTAACACTACACATTACATTGAAAAATAAAATTTGAATGTAATATACATGATATGAAAAAATAAGTTCTGAATTAGGAATGACAATTACAACTGGTCCGAACTTACATTAGTCAAACCATATTTGGCAGGTCCAAATGTCAGAGTTTGAATCCATGACACCGGGACAAGTTTACTTTTCACACTACCATGTCATTTCTTACGGAATAATAATAATATTTTATTGATTAGTAGAAGTGTTTAAACAAAATTGATATTTATGTCTTTTGATTTATATATTTAACAATATATTTGTAATTTAGGTAATAATTATAAATATTTTAATATTAGTTTATAATAATAATTTTTTTAAAAAAAAAAACATTAAAATGAAATATACAAAAATCGTAAGACTCAAACGCTTCGGCTCAAAGTTTATACCTATTCTATATATATTTTTTATATATAAATTAATATATTTAATTGTATTCATAATTTATTATTATAAAATATTTAAATTTGATTAATGAATATAAATTTTGATATAAAAAATTATTTAGAATATATCAATATAAAATAATATAAATATATTATGCCTAATCGAACTACCGTGAGCCGAACTTGAACTAGATTGTTTATAAAAATAATTATTTTCGACTTTTACTTCTATAAAAGAGTCGAATCGAGCTCTGTTTACGAATCTAGTCTGAGTTTAGCTCGCGAGCTACTCTGCTTGTTTAACCGCTCTAAGTACAAGTAAAGAGACTAGAGATTTTCCTTAAATATGACACCTAAAAATGTAAGAACTTTCCAAATATATACATCGATATTTTTTCTGTACGGTATGAACGGCAAAACCCGAATACGTAAAGCGATCAAGACGAGGAAAGGCAAAGAAGACGAAGAAATTACCGAGCAACATACCTGTCTTCTCCACATCGAGTAGCTTCATACGCTAAAGTCGGAGGAAGAAGAAGTCTCGCCGGGCATGTAAAAGTCGAATTTAACATCGACAGAACCAGACATGTCGCCGCCGTTGTCTCGGTACTCGATGTTTGTAATGGATCCAGTTTCGTCATCCATTTGGTACTCTGATCTCACCCGACGAACTGGGACAGTGACGGAATATACGGTGCCGAGATCTGGGTCAGTCGAGACGCCGAGCTGGACTTTCTCGCGCGATTCAATCTCAACAAAATCAGACAATGCGCTGACGACATTGCTTACAATCTGCTTTTTGGCTTCGTCGCTGACGGCGCAGCGATCGGAGAAAAGAATCATCTTTAATCGTTGCTTGGCGATGTTGGCGTTGGAGTTTCTTCGGGAAATCACCGACGGAAATACGATTTTCCACGCAAGGTTCAATCGCTGGAAGAAGTTCATGTTGATTGCGTTGAGAAGGAAATTCTCGACTTCCTGGCTGAAGGGGTTTTGCGAAAAGTTAAATTCTTCTCCAAATATTCCGAGAGGGCGCTGAGCTTGACAACGGGTGGAATGAGCATCGGGTGCGGGACGAGAATGTTTCGACATTGTCTCGACGGCTTTAGATGCGCCATTGGAAAACACATTGTAAGTCACCTGCTGAGTAACATAAGATCGCTGATTAAACACGAATGACTGGCCAATAATGTCATAAAAAAGAACGTTCCTATTTCACCGATTAAAACAATCATAGTAATCGTTCTAGTCCCCAAAATATCCGAGAATTCGAGAAGTACTATACATGATCAAAAGGGGAAAAATGTGTAAGAAATTCATATTTCAAACCATCCCCAGCTATGTAAGCATTTTTCAACTAATACTCCTTGAGCGCCAATCCATGTTTTCTTTTTTAGTTTATCGGCAAAATATGCAATTTTTATTTATAATAAAAATAACTCTTATATATTCTTTAATTTATACATTTTGAACATTAATCTTATTTACAAATATGCCAAACTATTTATACACTCAATTTATCTAAAAACATTTCTCACCTCGTTAACTTACTCACACTTTCCAAAATACTCTTACTTTATGTCACAGACGACTAATATAATTATATTTATTACTCATTTCGTTCGAAATATAATGTCATAGTTACTATAGACATGGAAATTAAGAGGGGTACGATTAGTAAATAATTAAGAATGTACTCGTAAAAATAATTACAATATAATACAAATAATTTTTTATTAAGATAAGTAATTAGTTATGTTACCTTTTTTCAAAAAAAAGTAACATGATATGTAGGACGAAAAAAACAAAGACATAATATATGGGACGGAAGGAGAAAAACTTATGTCCAACATATATAAGCATATTTTTTTGTGGACAAAAAGTATCACACCCAACAGCAAATTTTTCGATAAGTCAATAATGAATTAGGTAGAACGGCTGCTTAAAATTCAAACGGAAGCAAAGAAAATTGTCGAGGTCTATGCTCAAATTCACAACAGTTCAATCCATAATAAAGAGGTAAAGAGTCGTGGTTCCTAAATGTTAAATGTTGGCTACCAACTTCTAGCCGATTTATTTACAGTTGAAGCGAATCTGTGTTCGATGTTTGTCAAGTGAAGTTGACACAAATAGGCATCAGCGGTTCATAGTTTGATGGTTCCGAAGAACATTGCAAGATTTGATGGAGGATTAACAACAATTGCTATGGCATTTTCTCTCGTCTTAAAGAATCTATGAAATTCTACCGCAAATAGTAAGAAATTATGTGAAATTCGGAGACATTTCGAAAGAGTGGTTCACAGATTAAACAAAAAAGAGTATTGACTAATCTGTTTTGAAATATTCCTGAAAGCAATTCAATATAAACTTAAATTCGAACATTTCAGCAATATCCTTTGTTCATAGTTTTTATTTTTCCCACAATAGCTACAACAATTCGTTTTACGTAATTCCACCATGGAAATACAACATATACAAGATTAATCAAGGTCAAGCAAGCTAAAACTGCTATTAAAAAAAAGAGTGATGAAAATGTACAGACGCGGACAAGCTTATCCCTATGGAGCATTTTCTACAGATACTGAACAGCAATCGCAAGCATTAAGAACAGCGCCAACAATATTCATTCAAATTCACAACGAAAATTCAACACCATAAATGGTGCAAAATAGACGGCGAAAGATTCTGCACAATCCAATTGAACTAATTAACAGGAATCCGAGTGAAATTCAGTAAGCACACCTTGGAATGAGGGAAATTAGAAGTAGTGCGGAGGGGATTGAACCTATAAGGGCTGAGAGCTGCAGAAACCCTAAGATCTCCTGAAATCGCCATTTGCGAGTGAAAGTCCAGCTCCTAAAAGCAGCTCTGTCTGCGGGCGGTTTCGTTCTCACCAATTCGCTAGGGTTCCATTGAGCTGGTCTGCTGGTGGCCCCACAACGACGTCGTTTCAGTGCCCACCCAGTACAGTGTAATTGTGTATGTGTTACAGATTATCGTTGATTTTACTTCCACTGGCTATTCATCCGGTGAATCCTGTCTGGCACGTGACAGGTCGAGAGTTTTATTTTAATTTTTTAATATTAATTAGTATATCAAAATATAATACAAATTTAAAAAATAATAAAAATATTTTAATTAATGTATTATAATAATAATAATAAAATAATATTTATAAAAAAAATTATATAAATATAAAAATATTTTTAATATTAAATATAATTATCCAAAAATAAGCTTGGCTCTTTACAAATGAATGAAAGAGCAATATATAGTTTTACCTTAAATAAAATGACAAAATTGACTGAACAAACTAAAATAGAAAAAAATGAGATTATTTAAGGCAAAGTTACAAGAAATAGTCTTTTTTAAAAAATGCTCATGTTAAGTAAAATTATATAAATTTGATTAAATATATAAATTAAAAAATAATAATATTTTAATATTAATATATTGTACATAAATGAGAATAAATATATTAAATAATTGATAAATTATAATAAATAAAAAAATAGTGACAAATTATTTATTATTGAATTGATTAAACTATTTATTATTAATAGATTGTACAACATTAGCTGACTAGAAAAATAATGACATAATTGTAGTAAAAAATATATTTTTTATATTGAATGTGTATTTTTAAATATTAATATCTAAAAGCAAATATAAATCTTAAAAGTGGACGAAAGATAATTTCCTAAAAAAATATAAAAAATTAAATCATAAAATGTAAAAACTATAATAATATCATACGATATAATAATTTGTAAGCATGTCTCAACAAGAATAATACTACGTTACTGAGACCTATTGATAAGTTTTCGTATTACACGAAGTGTGTTTGTTTGGGGGTTTGAATTTTGAGTTGGAATTTGAATAGTAAAAATTTTAAATTTGAATAGTTGTATAATGTGATATAAATAGGCGTTGATGTAATGTTTTGAATGTAAAATTGATTTTTAATATAATATAAAAAATAAAAAATAGATTTTTGATTTGATATTTTTTTAAGGGAAAAATGGGATGAACAACGGAAATCTTCACAAATCCTTCAAACAAACACACCCGAAGAAGAAAAAAAATGTTAGAATCAATTTCTCATAAAAACATCCTTAAAAACAACCAAAACCTACTCTCAAAAATTGTCGATTCGGACACCTTCCCGGGGCACGGTATAAGTGTCCTTAGGCCTCGACTTCTTTACGCCAGCGATGAAACAAAGTTTCTCCGATTTGGCGCCCTCGACGGCGATGCTCGTGACATTTGTCCAAACTAGGACATTTGCCTTCATCTTCATCCCTTCCACGCTCATCATCTTTCCTCTGAGGAGAATGCATTTCACACGAGAACCGTACCTTAATGGCGACGAGTCATTGAAGCTCGCCTCGCACGCGTACGGCAAGTGAACCGTTAGCCTCGACTTGGCCCTGTCAAACTCGTAAGCTAAAATGTTCTTCGGAAAAATACCCCTCGGAATATTGTTATCTTGCAGAAGCTCCGGCAACGTTTTTAATGGCTTCCCTGTATGATCGAAGCCAATATTTGTTAGTAACGTCGTTTTAACAAATTTATACTTTATATTTTTTTTTTTGTTATTAAAAAATATTTCTATTTTTTAGTAATGATTTACTATTAAGTGGATAGCTGGACTATTATTTATTGCGGCTGCTACCGTGCTAAATTTAACACATCGTATGTTATTAGATAACACATATTACTATAAACAACACACTGTATATATGTTAATATAATACAAATATAACACATGTTATGGTCTCAACAACACATCATGTGATATCTGACAGCATATAATATTACTACAGACTACACACATTATTAACAACACATTGTATATGTTAATATAATACAAATATAACACATGTTATGGTCTCAACAACACATCATGTGATATCTGACAACATATAATATTACTACAGACTACACACATTATTAACAACACATTGTATATGTTAATATAATACAAATACAACACATGTTATAGTCTCATACAACATACACAACAATTGATTTTAGCTGTTATTATTAAAAAACATCAAATACCTTTATTATACACAACATGCGTTGTGTGTAATACTAATATGTGTTGTTTGTATATATAACATGTGCTGATGTGATCAGCGTAGTGCCATCCCCATTATTTTCAATTTACTATAAATTTCTTTAGAGACTATTTAAGTATGACAAAATATTTTTTCATTGCAAAATATAATACTCTCTCCGTCCAGTTAAAAAATATACATATTTCTATTTTGGGACGTTCAATTACAAAGTAAATATTTCATTAAATATATCACTTCTTTTCACAAATACCATTAGTTTACATCAAACCATTACTTTTACACCAAAAAGCATGAGCAAAAATGTCATTACACTATTTTTAACTACATCGCGCCAAAAGTAATTGTCTACTTTATGTCTGGACAAGCTTGTATCAAATACTTAATATATTATTATTATTAGATTATTTTCTTTCAATAAAGTTCATAAACCTCTATCTTATACTAATATACTACAAGAAATGATTGCAATATGCAGAGAAATTTCAAAATGAAAGATTTCACACCTTTGAGCTTGTTAAATATCCATTTTGCTTTTTCTTCGACAATGTTGGAGACTGTCTGCACCGCCATTAACAACACCAACACCAACGCCAACGCCAACACAGTAATTATTATTAGCTCAATACATACAATCGAAAATCAGTACTAACTATTTCAACAAAAGGCCAGTACATTTTTCTTTTTTTTTTTTTTTTTTTTCCAATTTCAGCCTCGATTAAGTCCAGCCATAGAAGATTCAATCTATTATCTAGAGAGAGAGAAAGAGAAACCCTAATTAATCGTGTTGGTGTATTGTGGAAGAATTAAACCGAATAAATAAAAGAGTGAGCAAATTGAGAGAGAGAGCGTACAGAGAGGTCTTGAGTGATGTTAGAGAGCTCGTGCTTGGCCTTGTTGGAGAGCCAGAAGCCTCCGGATTTGATGCTCCCCATTTTCGCCATACCTAATTTCTCCATTCTTCTTCTTCTTCTTCTTCTTCTTCTTCTAATTGTTAATTGACCTGCAACTCAACTGCAACTGCAAATGGAGGAGTGAAGAATTGAAGTCATGGGGAATTTTTTGCGCTTTTTCGGTGGAAAAGTGGAGCTTTAATTTCAACCTTTATAGGGTACGCTGCACTTCTATAAAAGCTTATCTGAAATTTATAATAAAGAGTGACTTTATTTGTACCATTTTGGTTTTGATTTTATTATTTAATTTTTTTAATAAAAAATATTAAATTAAATATATATATTTCATGTTGTCATTTTCTAATTTAGTAATTGTACTGCTACCTGACATAATAAATACTCTTTCAACTTACACTATATTAAACAAATATCATTACTTTTGTATTACACATTACTAATAGGAGTATTTTCGTCTTTTTTACTACAACTCATTATAATACTAATATTTAAAAATCTACGTGCGAAAAGTAAACGACAACTTTGCATCGGGACGGAGGGAGTACTATTTTTTATTTATTATATCATATTAAAATTTAATTTTATATTTAAAAAATATTATATTAATGCATATTTATTTTAGATCAAATAATTATTTCAATTCAAAAAATTATTATTTAAAATCAAAATAAAAACTGAACTTCACAAATAAATACACACAATGTTATTTGAGTTTTTTTTTTTTTTTTTTCTCTTTAATAGTATGTTAATGTAGTATTTTGAGAAATAGAATAACACTATTTCAGGCAACTTAATAAGTTATCTTTATATTTTACATCATTATTTTTAATTAAAAATATTTTTTTATTTATATAATATTTTATACAAATATTATTATATTTATATTATAATACATTACTAGAAGTATGATTGTCATTTTCCTTTTAAGTTATATTATGTTTTAATATAACATTAATATTAAAAAAATAATACAAAAAAGTAAATGTAAACTTTATAAATTCACGGAGATAATATATTTATAGAAAATGGTACAAAAAAAAAAAAAAACAAACAATGTTACTTTGAAATCACAATCAAAATAATTGCCTTTAAAATTCATAATTATTTTTAAAGCACATAATTATTATTATGTATATTAAAATTTAATTTAATCTTTTTCTCATATTCTTTTTTCTACAATTACTCCATCTTATTTTAATTCTAATAAATTCTAATCAAATTTTTTGTAATCTTGCTCGCATTTTGAATTTCTAGTTATTATTATTGAGTTGTTGGTTTCATAATAGTTAAGATATTGTAAAATTATATAATAGTCAAGATATGTATTACAAACTAGACTCTACAGCACAATCTACTGTCACATACTGTCACACTAGTTGGTCATCCCTTTCGAGACATATATATTTCATTTATTGTATATATAATTAATATAATTTATATTTTTGTAAAATTTATTATTATATTGTTCGTTAATAGTATTTTGAAAAAAAAAAATCATTTATTTACGGGTCTATAATTTATTTTTACTCGAAATCTTGAAAAAGTTCGAACAGGTGTAAGTGTATATATATTCTATGTTTTGTCAAAAATAAATTTGTTTGAGGAATACACCTATAGTATTTTACAGGAAAAAAAAAAAAAGTAAAATTTAAATATAAACTAGAAAAAACTTATTTTCTTTGTATTAAAATTCTAAAAATAAAAATAAAAAAAAAATACCAGTGATAAGCAATACTATCAAATATTTCAAAAATATATCTGTAACAATAATTATTTCTTGTACTCTTCCATAGATATTTTCTAGAGTTATAGAATTTTTGTAAAATACTACAAAAATATTTTAATTTGATATATTACATATATTTGATCTATTTTTCAAAATTTAATATTAGTAACAATATTAAAAATATGCATTAAAATTCTATCAGTAATATAAACTTGTATATTAATTAAACATTATCTTTTTTTAAAAAAATAAAAATACAATAGAATATATATTTATATATATATAATATACTCCCTCCGTCCCATGTAATATGAGTGCATTAGTGTAGACACGAGAATAATTTAGGTAAAGTATAATTAGTAAATAATTAAGAAATGTATTAGTAAAAATAATTTTTATTTAGTTAAAATAATTATAGATTAAGATTAAGATAAATAAATAATTTAATTAAAATTAAGAAAATTATAAAATTTAAAATTTAAAAGGTAATTAAAGTGCATAATTGTATTTTTAAAAATAGAAATAACAAGTTACGTGGAAAAACGAAAATTAAAAAATAGAAAATAAAGCGACAAATTACGTGGGGAGAAGTAAGTATATATTAAAAATTGAATCGGTAAATTTCTTCTACCAATTTTACCCTTGGCGGGCAGCCGCTCACCAACGGCCATCGACTGAGTAAAAAAAAAAACCCTCGCATGGAGCAAAACCTGCTTTGATTCAGTCCATAACCAGACATGAAACATGAAATCATCTTCGTGGTTCCGCAGAGCAATCGCCAGCCGTTTCAAATCCCCCAATTCCCAAATTCACTTCACTTCCTGGTCATCTTTGCCATCGCACAATCTCGAGCTCGAATCAATCAAAACCATTTCGGAGAACCCCTTTTTTCGTCTCCTGAATATCTGCAGAACCCTATCTTCCCTCCGAAACATCCACGCCCTTCTGATCGTCACCGGCGAGGCCAACGATCCATTACTGAAGAACAAATTGGTCGGATTGTATGGTCAATTCGGCCAATCGAGGAATGCCCGCAACGTGTTCGACGAAATGCCTGACCCAGATTTTGAAGCTTTTAAAGTGATGATAAGATGGTATTTTTTGAACGATTTATACTCTGAGGTTATTGAATTTCATAGGCTTATGAGGAGGAGGTTTTTAATTTCCGACAATGTCGTGTTTTCGATCGTGTTGAAGGCTTGCGCCGAATCGACGAATTTTAGCGAAGGGAGGATGGTTCATTGTAATGTAGTTCATGTCGGGAGCTTCGATAGCTTTGTGTTGTCGGGGCTCGTAGATATGTACGCAAAATGTGGAGAAATCGACGCCGCGAGGAAGGTTTTCGAAATGATCGGGGAAAGGAACGTCGTTTGTTGGACTTCGATGATTGTTGGATACGTCGAGAACGGCTGCGCCGAAGAAGGGCTACTGCTGTTTAATCGAATGCGCGATTGCATGGTCGACGGGAATAGTCGAACATTAGCGAGTTTAGCAACGGCGTGCGCCAAATTACGGGCTTTGCATCAGGGGAAATGGGTTCATGGAAATGTGATCAAGAATGGGATAAAGGTTGTACCTTTCTTGTCGAATTCGCTTGTCAATATGTACATTAAATGTGGATCCATCCGCGACGCTCGTTTGGCGTTCGATGAGTTTGGCGCCGTTGATCTTGTTTCGTGGACGGCTATGATTAAAGGGTACGCTGAAAATGGATTTGCGGAGGACGCGTTGGAGTTGTTTCTCGACGAAAAATGGGTGGATGTTTATCCGAATGAAGTTACGTTGGCAAGCGTGGTGTCGTCTTGCGCTCAATTGCGGAAACCGATTGTGGGTTCGTCGGGTTTTAGCCTCGCGATTAAATTAGGACAAGATGGCGCTATCGTGAAGAACGCTCTCGTCAAGATGTACGGGAAGTGCGGTAGGATCGACGACGCAGAATCTCTATTTGAATCGATATTTGATAAGGATGTCGTGTCGTGGAACTTGATGATCGGATGCTATTCGGAAAACGGGTACGGCTACAAAGCTCTAAAATTGTCGAAAACCATGAGATCGAGCTTTGTTAAGCCTAATGCTGCGACCGTCGTGGCGCTTTTGTTGGCTTGTGGTTCGACTCGGAATATAGGGTTCGGCGCCGCGCTCCACGCTTACTCGATTCGAGAAGGATTTTTAGCTTTCGACAGCGACTTCGTCGGGACGGCGCTTCTATCGTTCTACGCCGAATTCCAGGATGCAAAATCCGCGCGCGATGTTTTCGTCGATATGATGCGGAGTGCGATGATCGGGGGGTACGAGGATGGCGAGCGGGGGGTCTCGACCGAGTGCGTCGCCCTTTTCGACGACTTGGGGAAGGAGAACGTGGAACCCGCCGATATTGTTTTTGTTGCGATATTATCGACGTGTAGCGACACCGGGATGATCCGAGAAGGTTGGAGGTTTTTCAAGAGTGTTTGTCGGGGCTACAAATTCGTTCCCTCGATGAGACATTACGGTTGCGTGGTCGATCTTTTGGCTCGATCGGGATGTCTCGAGGAAGCGTTGGAGTTCTTCGAGACAATGCCGGTTAAGCCTGATAGCGCCGTGCTCAGAGCTTTTATTCATCAGTGTAGCGTCCGCTCTCGAATGGATTTGCGGGATTTAGCTGTTAGAAAGATGAAGGAACTACACCCTGACGATGCTCGACAATACGAGTCGACGTTGAATTTCGATTCGTCTCGAGGAAGACGGAGTCGGGCGAGCGATTTAGTTGAAAAAAATGATTTGAAGGAACAGACTAGAACCAGCTGGTCGATAAATCATTCAATGACTACTCGTGAAGGGCGCCGTGATCTAATTAATGTACAATTTTAAGAAAAAAGAGATTTTGAGCAATTGTTTTAGATTCACGAAATCGCAGAGATTTTAGTTCAATTTGGCCTTGGGACGGGACATGACGAGCGTATTTGCGTCTCTTTGTCCCGTCCCAAAATTTTGTTCGGAACAATCTTTGCTTCGATCCAATTTTGAATGTTTCTTTCTTTTTTTCATTTTAATATTTTTTGACACATTATTCCTAAAAAATATAATTATGTTATATTTGTTTTTTTTATATATATATATATATATTAAATTTATGTATAATTTATTTATTTATAATAATTTTTTTTATACTCTTTTAAATATTTTTTTTGACACATTATTCCTTAAAAAAATATATATTATATTTTTTTCGTCTCTATACAATAGTTTTGTTTGTCATTTTTGTATGTACTAAAATAATAGTCTCATTTTCATAAATATTATATCCCTATAAAATTATCTATATTTTTTCATTATTATTACACAATTGCCACTATTTTTTATATTAATTGGCAAAAAAATTATTTATTCATTTTTTTACTACCACCAATATAATATTATAATATTAATATTTTTTAAATCGTGTGTCCAACACAATAAAACTATACTTTTGGGATTGAAGGAGTATTTATTTTTTTATATCTATTAAATTTATGTACTATAATTTATTTATTTATAATGATTTTTTAAATATAATTTTATAATTTTTTTTTATTTCTAACAAATAATAATTAATTCTTCATTACTCTTTTAAACTTATCTTATTATTCTTTTTAATAAATTTGTTATAATATTTTATTTTACATTTTTATCTATTTTTATTGTAAAATGCTATCTAACTAATATGACATAAAGAATCCACTAGGAAAGAGAGTAATATATAAAAGTCAGGATTAAATAACAATATTAATTTTTTTTATAACAATATGAATTTTTGTATATAACAATAAAAATTATTTCAAACTAGAAATATAAAACAAACATTTTGGTTGCAATCTAGAGTTGTGGTTAGAAATTAATGTATTGCTCCCTCAATCCCAAACACTTGCAAATATTTTAATTTTTGTTTGTCCAAAATACACTGCAATATATTTAAATTTAGAAATAATTAATAATATTTATATACATATATAATTCATTTTATTTCATCACATCACTCAAATAAAAAATAAATAATAATTTCTCTCTCCAATCACATCACTTAATATTGTGTTTAGAACGGAGAGAGTACTATATTTAATATACGTTTAAAATAATTTTTATATTTAAATTATTTTCTGATCTTTTTCAAAGATAAAATCTACATATAACTATTATTTATATTGTTTTTGAGTACATAAATATGCTTGAATAGATTTCAAGTTTTATATTTTTATAAATTAATAAAAATAATCGGGTCGAACGGGTCATTCTTGGGAGAGTCGGATCCACGGATTTCGGGTCTGATTTGGATGGCATTACAAATAATCGGATCGTCCGTACCCGACCCATTTCCATCCTAGCGATTATAAACGATGGTTTAAGTCAAGAAAACCATGGCAGATTCAGTGTGTTCGCGTCCAATCAAAAGTCCCTAAATCGAAGCATGCGCGCCGTAGCCATCTGATTGGATTCCGATTGAATTGATCGACTTCTGTAAGTTTGTTTCTGTCGTGAATTACGTGTGTATCTTCCTGCAAACCCTAATTTTTCGTTTCGGATTGTGATTTTGGGTCAATTTTAGGTTTTCCATTTTTAAAAGCTTATTGTTGAATGTTGTATTGCTAATTTTCTGGATGTACTGTTTGATTAATTTGAAAAAAAAAAAAATCTTATGTGGATCGATCATTTGTGCCAAAATTTGTGGGTGGACTGCAATATTGGTGATTGCATTCATATGTTCCTGAATTGAACCGTTTCTGAAGAACGCTTTAGCTCACCGAACTGTTTGGTTTATATATATATATATATGCAGTGATTTGAATTTCCTGAAAGAATGAGTGTTTTTTTCTGTTATTCTGATGTGTGTTTGGAGTTTTGAATTTTTTATTTAATTAATTTTTGATTTGATGTTATTATGGGATATATTTTTCGGATGATGCGGAGTTTAATGGTAAAAAACTATATAGAAAATGAAAATAAACATTTTTTTTTTGAGAAAAAATAATAATCCTTCAATAATAATATTTTAATGTAAAAGTGAATTATGTAAAAAGTAAAGATATTATAAGAAATTTATTAAAGAATTTGATGATGTGGTAAGTAAAAAAATAGTGACAAATTGATTATTATTTGTTAAATTAGAATAATAATTTTTTTGAGTGATAAAGCTATTTGTGCATAAATTTAACGGATAATAAAAAAATAATTTAGTTTAATTATAACGGATGGACTTAAGAATTCCAAAATAAACAAAGTTTAGGTTTGTTTAAATAAGAATTTTGGATGTTTTGAAGTTTTAGAGAATTTTGGTACTAAGTAAAAATGGAGTATTATATATATATATGATGTAAATACCTGTTGAATGTGATATTTTGTATAAAAAATGGAGTATTCTATATGTATTTGATGTGAAATTTTCAAAAAAATTATTGTCGATGAATAGTGATAAAACTTCCAAATATGTGTATGCAAACAGAGTATCAAAAGTTGAAGGGGATATATATGATGGTTGTGGGTGACAATAATGCAAATTCGAAGAGGGTAGTCTTTGTGACTGTCGGGACAACATGTTTCGATTCCTTGGTTAGAGCAGTCGACACTCCTGAGGTTAAGGATGCCTTGTTCAAGAATGGTTACACGCACCTCGTCATTCAAATGGGTCGAGGCACTTATATCCCTTCAAAGGTAACACGGCGCTTTTGTTTTTAATCCTTACTTTGTTTATCGATTTCAAAATTATGAAAATATGGTTCAAATTTGTGGCATATGAAAACTTGAAGGATTGTATTGGTCGATTATTTTATTAAGTTCAGTGATCATTCGAAACGTACACTTGCATCCGAGTTTGTTGTGTATTTGTATTCTTACTTCATGACAATCTTTATGTCGTCTACTTTCAGTCTGCTGGAAACGACGCGTCCATTTCTGTAGACTATTTCACGTTTTCGCCGAGCATAGCTGAGTATTTGAAAAATGCATCTCTTGTCATCAGTCATGCAGGTATGTAGAGCGTGTATGTTTAGTGTTTATAGCTTTAGATGTTAGTGTTGTGATGTAGAGAAATTTTTATTGATGTTGTGTGTTTTTGTTGATTTTTATTTATGTTTTGTATGTTTTTATTGAGTTTTATCATCCGTCCGAATTGAAAGTATCTTTTGGTTTTTTATTGAATTATTAGTTAACGGGAGGCTATAAAATGATTTCAACAAAAATAAGTTATAAACACTAAACAAATACGCTCGTAATTTTTTTTCTCCTTGCTTCCGATCCATATGTGTTATGAGTTTTTTTGGCACCCAATCAGCATTTTAGCACACTTTAGTGTGCATTTGAGTTTATAGAAGCTTAAGTGTGTTTCTTTTGTGTTCTGATTCGATTCATTTTTTTTTTGATGTGAGGTATAAGAAATTGGGTAGATAATATAAAAGTAACGAGTATGTATAGTATTTTACTCGATTTAGCTTGATAAAGTATAATTTTACTCAATATAGCTCGAAATTTTACAGGTTCCGGAAGTATATTTGAGACATTGCGGCTAAAAAAGCCCCTGATCGTGGTCGTAAACGAGGATTTAATGGACAACCATCAAAGCGAGTTAGCCGAAGAACTAGCCGAGCGCAAGCACTTGTTTTGCGCTCGTCCCCAGACGCTGTACGAGACTATATCAACAATGCAGCTCGATTCTCTTTTACCTTATGAACCAGGCGACGCAACGCCAGTTGCCAAGTTTATTCACAGGTTCGTAGGCTTCACTAAATAGCGATAATCGAATAAAACACTTTAGTCGTGACCCGTATGTATTCGATTTCAAGAATTTCTTCCCTTCGAAAAAGGATCCTTAAGACACATTTACCTCAGCGATTTTGTATCGTAAAAACACCTACATGAAGTTTATTGAAAATTCACAGCCTTGGACATAACAAAAAATGTATACCGGGTGGATCTAGATAACTTAATTGTACAGCAGTTTCGAAACAAAAATTAAATAAAAATAACCGGGCGCCCGCTGTCGGTGAAAAACTTGATGATCAAATGATCTTCTTCTTTTCGAAGAAAGACTTGAGATGCCAAAACTGCAGTCCAGCCACGGATAAGCAAACGAGAATGGATAGAAAACTAAACCAGAACATTTTGTCGTTGGTCGAACGATTCAGTTCCTGCATCTCTTGTTCCCTACATTGAGAATCAAATCGAAACTTATAAGAAATATTTAGATTTACGCGAATAACTGAATTGCGTAGCTCGATGGGGAGTTAGTTAGTTACCTTTCGCGTAGATAATACATCTCTTCGCTTATGGATTGCACTGTGTCTAACATCTTCTTGAGCTCGATTTCCATTAACTAGAGGCATGTGGAAAATGTGAGAGATTCAAAAGAAATAACCGAAGCCAATATAAACAAATCTTGTTGTAATTATGTATAAAACAATGCTAAAACAAGAGCATATTATGCGTTCAAAGCTAAATGTTGTCATCCTTCGATTCACATACGAAGCAAAACACTAGTTTACTCGTAAATTTTACTATTTCAAACCAAAATTTTACAAATAAACACACTCTAAAGCTCCGTTCACTTATGTTTTCGACTTTGTTTTTGCACTATTCATCAACAGATCCCTTTTAATGGAAAAGCCACATCGAAACATTATGGCTCTGTTTACACAATTTTCACATATTTGGTACTATTCATTTTTTAAAAAAAATATAACATAAAATACATTTTTTCTCTCACAAAAAAATCAAAACTTTTTCCAAAATTTCAAAACTCTCCAAAAGTCTATGTCAAATATTGGGCTCAATTTACATATATATAATTTCGAAAGTTTTGGCACTATTCATCAACAATAATTCTTTCAAAAAATATCACATCAAATAACTATTTCCCCTCACAAATATTACATCAATATTTTACTATTTCCAAAAATTTTCAAAACTCAAAAAATCTCTATGTAAATGAAGCCTTAGAACTTATCACATTTCTAGATTCTAAAAAAACAATCAATCAATATACAATATAGCAAATCTAACAGATTCCGATTGATATTATCAAAGAGTTTTCAAATGAACCTACTGTAGAAATATATATTCCTCTTCGACATGAAAGAACAGTGAAACCTAAAGCTACAATACAAGCTAAAGTACCGAGCCAAATTAGTTTCAAGTTTTTGAAATTAAAAGTGAAATGAAAGGCATAGATATAACAAAAGCACAGATATAGCTTACTTCAACAGAACCCTTTTTGGCGACGCTTCCCCAATCCTTGGCGGCGATACCGGACTTCCATTCGAAGTCAACAGTAATAACAATGGAAGGTTGGTGACTAGCAGCAAAAAAGCACGCCATGTAGTCACCAGGCTCTGATGCTTGATATGCAAAATGACCCTCGGTGACATGTTCAGCATAGTGATAGCTATTTCCGTAAGGTGATGTCACCTACAAACAGAAAATGTGTTATGATAATAGATGATCATCAAACTTCTACAAATTTATCATTAAAAGAATCAAGATACCTTGAAACCATATCCATCTCTTGATCGTCAAAAAAAACAGCCACTTGTAACAGATTATAAACATTAAAACTAACAGTCGTCAAATCTTTGAAGATACTTTGATAAATAATTCTCCCCCCAAAAATATCAACCAATCGATTTCTAAACCTTTCAAACTTCAACAACCATGATCAATAACCTAAATCTATACAACACAACAGAACAGGGACAGAGAGCACAAAATGTCAAATATTTCTTCACCGATCTCATTCGACAGAAAAACAGTCACCGAGTACAAAAAAAAACACTCACAAGTGGACAACAATTCAAATTTTATGCACCCATTTTATTGTTCTTTTGATGCTGCTAATTGTTCACCCCTTTCTCTCGATTTTGTGTCCAATTTTCTTCTACGATAATTACCACATTTCCGCCTCCTGAATCATCCAAAACAAATAGTGCCATCTAGCTGAATCTGAACTCATCTTAGATACACCGTGCACAATTAGAAATTAAAATTGACCACAATTAGGATTGCCTGAACTCAACTCGATTTCAATAATGATTCAACTTTTGTGTTCTTCGAAACAGTTTTCTCAACGACAATGGCTACCACTAAAATTAATTTGCTATCCTTCATAGCAGCGGCCACTTCAAGTAAAACATAAATTGTGTCAAAAATCTTCAGCAAATTGACTCCAAAATTAACACAAATCCAATAAACCTCTCAAAATTTTTTACCACAGATAAAAACAAAATCAACGTTATATGAACTTCAGAAGCGAATTGATGATTACCCGAACAGTGACTTTATGCGATTCTGGCAAAGGATTCCCCTCGTTAGGGTTTACAACATGATATTTCCCTACAGTCATCGAATTGCTCTTGATATCCTCGGATATGCATTTGGTATGACCTGACTCCAGATCGAACCGGATCGATTCAACTCCCGACCATAGCAAGAAAATCGAAACCAGAACAGCAACAAGGTACCGCCTTCGGAATTGCGAGTCCATACCAACAATTGAACAAACGATGACCAAAATTCGAAGAGGGGTTTTGTTCTTCTAGTTGAGGTTTGGAATTGAAGGCCTAAATCCTGCCAAAACTACGATTGATCTCTCCCTAATTGGATCGGAATTCGGAAATTAGGGTTTGCAGGAGATCAAATCGGGAAGAAGCATAAGTCAAAGTCCTGCTCAAATTTCACTTATTAGCATTCGGCTTTCTTGTATTGTATGCATTCACGCATATATATATATATTTTTATTAATTATAAGAAAAAAATTGTGTCAAAATTAGAAGAACGTCCAATGATAATTTCACACGTGGAAATTTCAATTTGCGCCAGTAGTTACTGCTTACGGTTAAATATCAGTTTACCACCTTATAAAAGGAATATTATAAATAGACCCAAACAGTTGCAATGGTGTTTAAGATGATCCTCAGGCCAGGGGCCAGGGCAAAAAGAGCTCTTGCCCAGGGCCCAACATAAAAAGTCCATTTTTTTAAAATGATTGTATATTACTCCCTCTATCTCAAATAGCATGCAATATTTCTTTTTTTAAAATAGAAAATAATTAATTATATTTAACATTTACCCTACACTTTATCCCCTTTATTATTCAAATAAAAATATATATTTCTCTCTCTATCACATCACCTAATTTCTAAATTATCTTACTTAATACTACCCACCTAAATAATATATTTTTTTTTAAAATTAATATTGGTCCAGTCCTACTAACTAATGAGAATCATTTAAATATTTATTAGAATAATTTAAATAATATACAAGAAATTAGAAAATTAAATTTTACTTTCCAATTTATAAGAATTATAGATATTTACATATGGTTATTATTTAAAAAAATAAAAATAATAGAGAAATTAAATGACTTTTTTTTTTTGTGCTAAACTAGATAACATGAAGGAGTATTATTTTTGTTGTAAGCTTTTTTTAAAAAATATTAGTAAATATTTTGTTGTCATGTATTTAGAAATTAAAAGTATTTAGCCTAAAGACTTAAATAATAAAGTATAAAAATAATATTAATATATAATTATTGTTGGGACTGGTCAACTCAATATTGACTGCAAATTTTCGACACAAGGCACATCAGCAGGTTACGAGGGCGAACCACTGCCATAGCTAATGTCTAATGCCATCCATTTTACTTCACCATCTAAGTGGGTCATAATGTCCGCTTTGGGCTGAGCCAAGTGAACAGAGTCCAAACTTTATACTAAATCGTTGAGTTTGCACCACAACAGGATACTTGGAATAAATTAAATATAATATTAAATAAAAATAAAAATCTTGACAAAGATAATCAATAAGAAATTACAAAAACAAAAAATATCAAAAACAATTTTAATGAGAATAATGTTTTGCCAAATATTTTTAAAAAAATAATTCAACTTTTCGATGAATAAAATAAATTTTTTTATCATAACAATAATGTTTTAGAAATAATTTAGGTAAAATTGCTTGTTCCCATGTGGTTTTGAAATTTAGCTTAACATCTCCATGTACTTTAAAAATTGCATGGTTCCCCTTATACTTTAAAAACGTTGCATGAAACTCCACCAACATGAAACTTTTCTCATGATAAGAAGATGATTTTCTATCCATATGTTTTGCATGACATGGGGGTTTTATACAATATTTTTGAAAGTATAAGTGAGCGTCATGCAATTTTTTAAAGTAAAATGAGGATTTATGCTGAGTTTGGACGTCATGCAATTTTTAAAATAGGGAATTTACGTTGAGTTTCGAATCACAAGAGTGTTATGATCAATTTTGCTAATAAATTAAATGACTTGAATTTGGTATAATGATGTAATATCATATTAAATTATATAAAAAATAATAAAATTCATTATCATTACATTCATTATAAATTCAAAATAAATTAATTTATTTTTTGGCCTTAATATTAAAAATTCAATTATAAGAACTATAAAGAAAATTAAATTTTTACTTTTTATTTTTATTTATTATAGTTCTGATATTAATAAAGTATGTATAAAAAAATTTGGTACACATTCCAAGTAATTGTATTGCCATTTGCCACCAAACAGTGAACTTCCAAATTTCAGAACCCTAAACAACAACTGAACTTCAATTCAAAAATTTCCCCAATTTTGCTGAAAACAAGTCACAGATTTTTGTAGTTTTTCATACCCTCTTCAATCATTTCGTGAATTTTACTCGTCATTCAATACCAATGTGTTTTCCCTCGTGAAATTCCCCGCTGCACCTCCGATTCCTTTATCTGCACTTGTGCTATTCAATTCTCTCATTTTTACGCCTCAAAATTTTGAATTTGTTCAATTTTCAAAGTTCCTTTCATCAATTGAGAGTTTCTTGAATCTGTCCAGCAGATCGAATGTTGAGCACCTTGCTCAATCTTAGTTTGAATTACTTGAAGCATTGAATTTATTTTTTTGGTGTGGGGATCCTATTTTTGGGTGTTGGATTAAGGGTGTTGAATCCGATGAGTTATTATTGGTTGTGGCAATGAGGCTTGAATGGAAGCGATTAGATCAGAGAGAAGTGTGGAAAAGTTGCCGCCATTGCAGGGGCCAGTGATACCGAAGACAAAATTGCAACTCTGGTTTTTTAGGGTTTGCACTTGTATACTAATATGGACGTGCCTGGTTCAGCTGGTGGCGGTGGGGGAGCTGTGGCACCCTCGTCTGCTTACTGGTTTTCCTGGATTTACAAAAATGTTGGTTCACCAAGATCGATTGTATCAGTCTTCACTACCGCCGCCTGTTCCTTCCAGTGAGTAGCCTAATGTAGTTGTAATTCTGAGTTAAAATTCATTGATCTGAATTGGAAGTTTCTCTTCGAAACAGCAAGTTACTTTTAATTGTTTTAGTGACGTGATTTATGAATCATTGTTCTTTTGTTGGGTTGGTTGATCATTTAGACAATGTTGTTCATTTAGTATCGATAATTTATTCATGCTCTTTCCAAGTTTGAAGTTCCATTTGTATAAATAAATTCCAGTCGTGCTATTTTATATTGCCTTGCTCATCGGCTCTGTACTGCTTCAGCTGTTGTCTGTAATAAATTGCTTCTTGGCTGTGATCCAGAAGGCTGTGATTATCTTTTTCAATTTGGTGCTATAAGATAACCTATTAATGGTAATTGGTAATGCCTGTTTGGATCTCGGGATTTTGCTGATGAAAGAGTGAGTGAAAGTGGAATGCTGAATATCGTTTCTGTTTTGGAATTGTGAATTGAGAAGAGGATGTTACCATGTTACATGATTACAAAGGACATTAAGAAATGATTCCAAGCAATTTCATCTGCCATTGTTTGTTGAAAGAATTGTTTCCATCTCCTGGCGCGAGCATGTGGTGTATGTCTGAAACTCTTGTAGTCTTTCGTGGTGTTGCCTGAGGGTGATGGATGCATTAGAAAGCTTTCTCTGCAATTTTTACGGAGATGTATTTCTAATGCAATCGAGATAGAATCTGCTTGATCGCTCACTTATATGTAATTTGTGATTATCTGCAGGGAATTACACAAGTAATGGCTTTCTTAAAGTGACTTGCAATGGTGGCTTGAATCAAATGCGATCTGCGGTTTGTTGATATTACTGCCTCATTGTTTATTTAATACGGCCGCATTTTGTCTAATATAGTACCTTTTTTATTTTCAGATATGTGACATGGTAACAATTGCCCGGCTTTTAAATCTTACATTGGTTGTTCCCCAACTCGATAAGGCATCATTTTGGGCTGATACTAGGTATTATCATGTAGTCAGGTATTTGTGTTGCACAATTCCCACTTATGAATCTGACTGTTGGTTTTAACATGCAGCAACTTTGAGGATGTTTTTGATGTTGATCATTTTATCAATTCATTAAGAGATGAAATCCGAATTATAAAGAGGTTACCAAAGAGATATAGTGAGCGATACGGACATCAACCCCTTGTAATGCGTCCAGTTAGCTGGTCAAATGAGCAATACTACTTGCATCATATTCTTCCTCTCTTTGGAAAGCACAAGGTGATACACTTCAATCGAACAGATTCACGGCTGGCGAACAATGGGCTTCCTTTGCAGCTTCAGAGACTTCGATGCCGTGTTAATTTTCAGGCACTGAAGTTTACTCCTCAGATTGAGGCACTGGGGAAAAAGTTGATTAATATTATTCAACGTAAGGGACCCTATTTGGCTCTGCATTTAAGATATGAGATGGACATGTTGGCATTCTCAGGTTGCACCCATGGTTGCACTGAAGAGGAAGCTAATGAGCTCAAACGGATGAGGTAGTTGCTTAATAAAATTCAGCAATGATGAATGCATGCATTTGCTTGACATAGAAAGTAATAATCCATTATTAACTAATAAGAAGTTAGAAATCTATTTAACGATGTCTTTTACAGTTGCTGCAGGTTAATAACCCAAACTGCCATATGTTACTCTTTCCATAAATGGCGAAGCGTTAGCCATATTCCTTTTAGAGGGTATTTGACAAATAAAAATAGATAACGGTGATTTTGAGTCATGGCTCTCTCGATAGAGGATTTGTTGTTGTTTAGTTTTCATTATATATATATATATATCTCAGGATGAAAGTATGTAAAATTGGTAGTATTTAAGTACCAGTTTGGCTAGTGTATTGTAAGAGAGAGAATATGTTTTGCAGTTTAAATTTTTTAAGATACTAGTTCCTGATGTATATAACTAGTATAATTCTCTTCAATGTTAACATGCTGTCCTTTTTTATTCTTTGAGTTTTCACATTTAAAATGTTGAAGAACTTCACATTTGAAGTGCTTCTGATTACATTGAACTGTGGCTGTGTCTAGTTAAAATGCATGTTAGAATAATTTTATGTCGAGAGCAGTGTGGACACTTAGTCGCTAACTCCAATCAGGAAAATAGATGGGGGAATGGCATGCTCTGGGGTTCTTAAAATCATAATGACACTTTTTTTGAAAAGTTCGTAAGTGTTCTTGTGATTATTGGGTGTTCAAGAAGTTAGTATTCTATACGCAGTTGTTTGTATCTTTTTCCTGCTTAATGTCCGAAGCTTCGGTTCCCCACACCTTGGTCCTGTGTCTTTTTATCAGGCTCAGATCTTTCCTCACTGCATATTTGTTGTAGGTATGCATTTCCATGGTGGAGAGAGAAGGAGATAGTTTCTGAAGAGAAAAGATCTGAGGGGTTATGTCCTCTTACCCCAGAAGAGACTGCTTTGATTTTGCAAGCATTTAATTTTGATACGAAGACACAGATCTATATTGCCTCGGGTGAGATATATGGAAGTGAAAGGAGACTTGCAGCTCTAAGAGCTGCCTTTCCAAGGATTGTAAGTTTCCATCACTATTGTGTGTTTCACCATGAAATCATGAAGTAGGTATTCCTTTTGTTAAAATTGTTGTCCTTTGCATTTCCGGCATCTGTTCTGGCACCCTTTTGCATTATAAATATATGTAGGTGTGCGCGTGTGTATCATTTTGTCCCAATTGCTTTGTTTTGCAATATTAAAACTACGGGAATGGTCATTCAATACTCTATGAAACTAATTTTGATTCGGGCATTTGGACTGCATAATCTTTGTGTTGCTGCTTGTTAATTCACACTCTGTTTCACTGAAATGTTGCTGTCACTCCCGAGTACAGGTTAGAAAGGAGATGCTGCTACATCCTGGTGATTTACGGCAGTTTCAAAACCATTCGTCTCAAATGGCAGCACTGGATTTTATGGTTTCTTTGGCTAGTGATATTTTTATCCCGACTTATGATGGGAACATGGCAAGGGTTGTGGAAGGTTATCGTAGGTACCTGGATAGTTACACGCATTGTGCACTTCAACTAGGCTTATCTATCAGAGTTATAGCATAAAATATTTCTGATTTGATCATTGTAGGTATCTTGGGTTCAAAAAGACCTTCCAATTGGACCGTAAAAGACTTGTAGAGTTTTTGGATTCACATCAGAATGGAACTCTCACATGGGATGAATTTTCCCATGCTGTGCAGAAGGCTCATGAGACGACAATGGGGGTTTCAGCAAGCCGTAGAGTTATCCGGGGCAAGCCTAAAGAAGAAGAATACTTCTATGCGAACCCTGAAGAATGTTTGTGTGAGAGAAACAGGGATTGTGATGATCCTCTGTACCAAGAAAATACAACTAAATTCCAATGAGACTGTGCATTCGAAATCTGGATTTAATCAAGTACTCTGTTGTGAATAGTGATGGTACTCGGGAGTGTGGATCACTGCTTTAATTATGATATCGGCAGAATGCTGAACAGGCTTCTTGAGCTTTTGCCAAAGCATGTGAGATGCGCCCCACGTGTTACAAATGGAAATGGAAACACAAAGTCGTCACAATCTTGTGAGTATTAAAATGCCTTCAGTTTCTTGATCTAATTCATTTTCTTCTGCTGTTGCCACAACGTGTTATCCTTGCATTATACCCTAACAAATTTCATTACAGCTACTCAATCAATTCATTTCTTTTATGGAGTGATGCTTAGAACTAACCTGAGTAACGACATTATTTGAGTTGTTCAATAGCTTGCTGAATTTGTCGTCTTTTATTTCGACTTGCTCTTGATGTTTACTGTCTAACATGAGCTCTGCCAACTGATTCGGTAAATCCTTACTGTAGGATCACTAATGGAGAGGAAATGTTTGCTTCCCTGTTTCTGTTGTATTGTCAATTAGTTTTGTTTCTTGTACAGAAGATTGCAATAACTGAAAACTGCACAATATCTTGTTTAGACATCCTGAAATGGGACTCATAACTCAATAGTAAACATAAAGAATGTCCGGAAGTAGTAAATACTAATCGAAACAATTAGACTCACAAGAAATCTATCAAATGCTACTCCGGACATTGTTACCGAAACTTTTTGCTGTCTGCAATCTCCTGATTTCAATATGCATCGCATAGTGTGATGTATCATCAGATAACAATGTATTATTGGGGCTCCCAGAAAATTATGTCGCCTTGCTCCCCAACTAGGCCAAGATCTTTCAGTCTCCTTTCTTGGTAATATTCCAGTAAATCTAACTCTGTTTCTCTTTCTTTGAAGATGCTAAATATCTGCTGCAACACCTTCTTCTCCCCCAGTCGAATCCTGACTGCTACCCCATGTCTTGTCCCGAGATTTCCTTCCTCCATCACTTTTTCATCCTGCAAAAGTTCTTTACATTAGCTAGTTTACAAATATACTAACTCTGCAATGTGATATTAGTTTAAGTTCTTCGGCATTAGAGCTAAGTGTTACTTCTTGTGTTCAGTTAGAAAGCTTACCTCTTCGATTGTGGTGTGATAACCCGAAAGTGCAGATTCACAGGCTTCACACACTACTTTGCATATGAGTTCCTCATTGCCTCGGCTGACGGGCAGTTCAAGGAAGCCCCAAATCGAGTTTCTGAAAATGGATTCTAGCAGAAAGGCGTCGGTTCCTCCCAATGCTACCAGGCGTAGATATGGAAGCATGGCGGCTGGAAGGGGCTGACCGAACTTGATGTCAAAGTAAGCTGTTTCTCCTAAACCATTAGTTTCGGCTATATCCATCTTGTCATCATAAAATTCATCCGATTCGGGTATCTCTAGTGTCAAAGTAAATGCATCTCGACCTGGACTTGAGTCGATGAACCCATAGTCTAGAGCCATATCGGCATTACTCTTATTTATATCGTATTGGATGAAAACCTGCCAAGAAAAAGAAACCATGCTTCTTTAGTATATAGGGGTTAGAAAACTATCGAATTTCCGGGCTTTCTTGAGGTTGTAATAAAGCTCACTTGTTCACCAGCCTTGAGAGACAAAGGGCTTCTTAATTGGAACACATAACTCCACGAGAAAAGCCCGGCTGGTCCTGTAACCTCATGAGCATGATCCTCCGTGGTCACTTTAGGACTATGATTGACCTGAGACATGTTAAGGTTTAGGGTTTAAGGTTTAGAATTATGACATTAGTGTATAGATGAAAGAAGAGGACTAAGGATGTCCTTAAGGGATGGTCTGGTCCGTGAGGACATGGGTTCAGACCCTCGACCTCTCCAGGTTCATTTGTCACACATAGTTTGTCTAGTGTGACTTGTCTTATCGAACCCAGTTTGCAGGATTTTAAGTTCGGTCGGGGTTTACCCAGAACGTACTCGACGAATAACGGCGACAAATTCCCACGTTATAAAAAAAAAAAAGAAATAGGACTAAGGATAGTTTATCTACCAAATCCGCAAAGGGAATGACGGAGAGGCTCTGGTTACGGGATCGAGAGAATGCCCTCGACCTTAGAATCCCGAATGCCCAAAAGAAATCTTCTAAGGTTAGAGGGAAAGGGAAGAGATCCTTGTTGGGAAGTATCACTTCTTCTTCTACTTTGAGAAACTCATTTTGGACGTATTCTTTCACTCCCAATGTTGTGCTAAGTAGTTGAGTTCCTGCAAAAAGTGCAACGAATCAATGCAATGACAAATCCTCGACCCCCTAGAGTGCCTAGGCGAGATAGTCGAGTTCGCCGGTCAGGTCAAGTATTTCGTATACGATAGGAAATCCCTCGAACCAACCGGATCATCCGATAGAAGCCATTTATACTTCAAGAAGTTCATATATGTTCTGTCACTTTGCATTTTTTCGAAGTTCATATACTCTCTCCTTCCGCCAAATTTTTCCATTTACGTGAATAGGACTCGGACTTTTAACATATAATCACACTATACTATCAATTAAATAAATTCCTTAAATAATTTTTTCAAATACACCAAAGTAACTTTTATACGAAAACTAATCTTGTAGACATAATACTATTAGGTTCGATTGAGGGTTTATTCCGAGTCCATTCGAACGTAATTTAGTTTGCAGATTATTAGGTTTGATTGAGGGTTTATTCAAAGTGGACTCGAAAAGTAACAGCTTCGTTAACACCGTTTCTCGGTCAAGCGGCCTGATTTTTAGGCTAGATTGAGTTGAATTTGTGGTTTTAAATAGTCAAAATTTGAATTAAACTAACATAAATAGGTTTAAATATGATATTGATTTTTTTAGAAAATATATATATATAAAATAGAGACTAAAATGCTGACCTTGAATCTCAAGAAGCTCCTCTTCTGACCTGCACTGGAACACATACCACAAAAACAACACTTTTACAACTCTCAAAACCACAGATTCAATCATCAATCACAAATCATCAACCAATCAATTCAATTCAAAACCAAACAAATAAAAAAAAAGAAAAGAAATCCCACCAATAAATCGTAGAATCAGTGGCCTGTGGAAGAACATCAATGTAATAATACCAATTAGAATCAGCCCCTTTAGACCTCTCCTTGAGCAGAAACAAAGCCACACAAATCCATGGCTTCAGCCCATAGCAAATCCCCCCAATCTCAGACTTCTCAGCTGCCTCGGGATTCACCCAATACTTCTTCGGCACCTCCAAAACGACCTCGTTTTGGCCAATCCCTCTCGTCGCCACAAGCCCTAGCCCTTCTGGAACAACCCCTGGCTTCACTGGTGTCTTCGATGAAACTATTCCTTCGTCTTTCAGCCATTGCCAGAATCTCTCCACTGATTTGGGGATTTCGGGGTCTGACACTGGAGGGACTGAGCTTAGGGAAATTTGAGGTCTGTGCTTTAATGGAGGATGGTGATTATGATGATGATTGATATTGAGGTTCTTCTTTGGGGGAGAAAGTGTTTTTGGGAATTTTAGGGTGAATGGAGTGAGAGATGCCGCCATTGATTTTTTTGCCCCCTTTTTAGTGCTGTTCTGCAGACGCCATTTTGATGGTATGAGGATTGGGGGATTGTCTTTGGATTTTTTTATAGCTTCTGGTTATGGATAGAGTCCTTTCTTTTCATAATTTTCTTTTTAGTACTGCAATAATTGATTTATTTTATTAAATTACTAGTATATTTCAGTATTTTGTATTTATGTATATTTTTATTTTCGTTATTTAATTATAATACTTTAGTTATATTTTATATTATATAATTTTAATTAAATTAGTATTTAGTTATTTTTACTTTTATTTTAATTTATAATTATTTATATTATATACTAATTATTTTTATTAACATATATTTTTTTTAATTATATATATTTTTTATAAATTTGGGTATTTATAATACAGTAATAAGGCTATTTTTAGACGGGAAATTTTTAATTGGGTTTGTTCACTTAGGACTTTTTTTAATGCATTTATTTTTTTACGTTGCATGTGAAGAATTGTATTAATAATATAAAAGATAATATTTTATGTTGAAAAATTATTTTTTAGTGAATAATATATATATTATATAGTATAATATTTTAATATATTTATAGGAAATTCATGCAAAAAATTCAATGTGTACAAAAGTTAATGTAGCAGTATAAATAAAACAAATCATGGGTCGAGTATTTCTAGTAAAAGAATAACGTGTCTTATGATTATAGTAAAAAAAAGTTTGAAATTGAAGTCTAAAAAATACACATCGGTCCACCTAAATTACAAAGTAATTATTAAATATTTTATTTTTTTCTATTAATATTTTATTTTACATCACATTATTACTTTTTGATGTTATTATTTTTAAATCAAAAAGTAAAGATAAAAATATCATTACACTACTTTAAACTCTCTATTATAATTAAAATATTATTATTTCTTAAACACCACGTAAAAAAATGAATATTTATTTTCCATGCGAAGAGAGAGAGAGAGAGAGAGAGTACCACTTACTCCATGATATGTTTGTGATTTTGCAAGACTTTGGGGTTTTCAATATTAAAATAAAATAATTATTTAATATAATATAAATTAATATTAATCTAATATTTTTGGAATATAAAAATATATATTTAATATAATGTAAATATATATAAATTGATTTGATATATTTTTTTTTTAAAAAAAAGATATAAACTAAAAATTAATAAGAGAGTAAAATTCACAATTAAACATAGTAATAGTAATATTCTTGCTTCCTTGCTTATTTGGCAAGAACACACTCCTTTTGCTTTTGAGCCTTTTCTTTAAAAACATCAGCACAGTCTAATCACATATAGAAAAAAAAAAGAAATTAGTTGTATTTTTGTGAAATATGATTGGCAATATATATTAATAAAAAATACAGTACAATATATATATTAACACAATACGGGTCACATATATTTTATTTACTTAAAATCAATATTTTTAAAATAAAATGTTATTTTTTTTATTTAATATATAACATGAACACAAGTTATATTTTTTTATAAAATATTACAATTCCTCTGTATTATAAAAAATAATATTCCCTTCGTCCCACATATTATGTCCATGTTATCGTTTTTGTCTGTCTCATGTACCATGTTATTTTTCTTTTTTAGAAAATGATTACACACTTTAATTTTATTTTAAATTTTTTATTTTTTTTAAATATTAATTAAACTAATTAGTTATCTTAATTTTAATTTATAATTATTTATATTATAGAATAATTATTTTCACTTATACATTCTTAATTATTTATTAATTACATCTCTTCTAAAATACCGTGTCTACAGTATAGCAGACACGGTACGTGGGACGGAGGTAGTAATATTTTATTTATTAATAAAATATATATGATAATTTTAATATTTTTATATATACATTAGGGTGTGTTTGTTTGAGAGTTTGGATTTTGAGTTGGAATTTGAATAGTAAAAATTTTGAATTTGAATAATTGTATGATGTGATATAAATACGTGTTGATGTAATATTTTGTATGTAAAATTGATTTTTTTATAATATAAAAAATAAAAAAATAGATATTTTGATTTAATGTTTTGGGGGAAAAAAATAGAATGAACAGTGAAAATTCAAACAAATCCCTCAATCAAACACACCCTAAATCACATAGATAATAATATGTCTATAATTTATATATAAATTAACGGAATAATATTTTGATATTTTCTATTCGAGTTTTCCTTTTAAAAATAAAAGGACACGTGTCAATATACCAATGGTTACGCAATCTACAACAAACCAGCACATCTTCAAGAATCAAGCTACCCATTTCCTCCATCGGCACCGCCATGGAAGCCATAGCAGCAATCAACTCTCAGCTCACATTAGCTCCAAAATGGCCTGAAATCAGACCTCAAACCCTCAATTTTCATTCTTACACTACCCTAATTTCCCGGAACAAGACAACTCCCCTAATTCTCGCCCATTGCACCCAAAACCCTAACGCCGATAAACAGAGCCCCGTCGACGGCCATTGCCGGAGCTCCGATTCCCCCAAAAATCCCCAACTACAATCGCAACCAATTTCCCCCAATTTATCGTCTACAACGGGACTGGTCTTCGATTTAGGCGCCGGCGATTCCTGGGACAATCTGGAAATCGGTTCTCCGGTGGTGAAACGCTTCCTCAGCGACGACGAAGAGCGGTGGTGCATGTGGTACCACGGCAGGTCTCGCGAGAATCCGGCGTTCGATTCGATCGGACTGGCGGTTTCCGGCAACGGAATCCACTGGGAAAGAGGCGGACAAGGTGTTCGACGAAATGCCGATGTAGGATTAGTTATGAGCAGAAGTGACAACTGGTGGGCGTTCGATACTCACGGCGTTAGGCCGTCGGAAGTTATGGTAATGTCGAGCAACAAAGTCCGGTCAGTCGCCGGCGTTTACTGGATGTACTACACCGGCTATTTTCCGGCGAGTGTCGATGATTCCGGCGACCGTTCTGGCTTAAATTTTTGCAATCCCGATATGGCATTGCCCGGCGACGCCAATTCCGACATGCTCAATTCGTTGCCGGGATTGGCGATAAGCCAAGACGGGCGACATTGGGCGCGGATCGAAGGCGAGCATCACACGGGGGCGTTGCTCGATGTAGGGGATGACGGAGAATGGGACTCGTTGTTCCTCGCCTCGCCGCAAGTGATTTTTCACGGTGCTGGCGATTTAAGAATGTACTACCATGCATACGACGCCGAGAACGGCGAATTTGCGATCGGTTTGGCACGGTCGAGAGACGGTATTATATGTTTGCGGAATTTTCAGAATTGCATATTATTAATAATAGGGGTGTGCAAATATTCGAACCGAACTTCTGAACTTAATTGAATTTTAGGTTAACCGAGCAAATTTGATTCGAATACAAATATTGTGTATTTGATGTTCGTTCCGTTCCGTTCGGTTCAATTCGGTTTCAATTTTCGATGCTTCCTCCTTTCGGTTAAAAATACACATTTTCTTTTGACACGTAATTTAAAAAATAATAATATTTTAATTGTAACATACAGTTAAAAGTAAAGTAATGCAAAAAAACAATTTTGTCTTTGCTTTTTGGCGTTGAAGTAATGATGTAATGGTAAAATTGGAGTATTTGTGAAAAAAATTCTTATGGTATTTATGAAATAGGTACTTTGTAATTGGATAATCTAAAATAGAAATACTTATATTTTATGAGTCCACGAATGTAAAATTCTTTTTTTATTATTATATTAATAAATAACATTTAATTCGGTTCAATTTAGAATATTTGTAAATATTTTTAGTTAATTAAGATTTTAGTTATTTTTTAATGTATTTGTTTTTACATTCCGTTTCAGTCGAATTATTTGCAAATACCACAAATATTTTCGGTTATGAATACCATTCCCGGGTTTGAGTGTTTATTCTGATCGATTTGAATACCAAATATGTGCATATTTGTAAATATTCGATCCGCATACACCCCTAGTTAACAACATAATCTAATATATATATATATTATACGTTAGATGATGTAAAAGAAATACGCATCATATATTTATTTATCTATAAACGAAAATCCACCGACATTATCGGTAATATGCAACTTTTGAAAATTTCTAAAGGTATGAGATGGTTGAAGCTGGGGAAGGTCCTCGGCGCCGGCGGGAAAGGAGCGTTCGACGAGCGCGGGGCGATGAATCCGCGGGTGGTAAGAAATCGAGAAAATGGCGAGTACGTAATGGTTTACGAAGGGGTCGGGGTGGACGGGAGACGAGCAATTGGGATGGCTGCGTCGGCGGATGGGTTGAAGGGGTGGCGACGAGCGCCGGAGGGGCCAGTTTTGGAGAGCTCCGGCGATGGTGGGGGGTGGGATTGCCGGGGGGTGGGGATGCCATGGTTGGTGGGGGTGGGGGTGGGGGTGGGTGGGGAGAGTGAGGAATGGAGATTGTACTATAGAGGGATTGGGGAAGAAGGAAGAACAGGAATTGGATTGGCGGTGTGCCATGGGAGTGATTTTGGGAGCTTTAGGAGATGGACAGGATTTCATTTTTGAGGTAATTTATTTTATTATGCAAAAAATTTGTTTATTTGGAGTTTGATTTTAGGTTAGTTTTTTATAAAACTATATTTTTTTATTTTTTAAAAATTTTATATTGATAGCGGCGGTTATAATGCTTAATTTTATATTTGAGGATTGTGGCGATGGCTCTGAGGCTCATATCATGTTATATAATGATTAGCGATCAAATATTTATGTTAATATAATACAAATGTAGTATGCCGTATAATTTATATAATATATACTATTTTCGTTCGACTCTGAGAGTTTCATTTACATTTTGCATGTTAATATTTAAATATTAATTATTATATTAAAATGTAGTACAAATTTTAAAAAAATTATAAAAAAATAGGAAAATTATGAAATTAAAAAATCAAGAAAAATACACAAGAACATAAAGAATTTGATACTTAATTCGATTGGGATGATTTACATTTGAGCCAACCAAATAAGATATTTGCACTATAGTATTTTTCGGGTGTTAATTACAAAAAAATAAAATAAAAATACATTGCGTTACAACTCAAAAAAGTGACAATCAAATTAAAATTGGTTTCAATTTAGACTTTTAACAACATATCATTTTTGTCTTTATCAAAATTATTATTTTTTTTAAAAATGTATGTTAAATTATGCATATAATTTATTTATTAATAATTTTTTTTACCTTTATTTTAATAAATAATAATTATTTTGCTATTATATTTTCTATTAATTCATTATTATTATTAATTTATAAAACATATTATCATCAAACCCAATAATCTCAGCCATATGCTGACCATCTATTTAAAAAGAAAAGAAAAAAATTATTAATATCAATTTATATCATGTCAATTTTTTTAATTCTAATTAAAATTCATTCTACTTAGAACTTCACAAAATTGGGCCTTTATTGTGTAGAACAATTTTGGGCTAAAAAATATGACCCTAGGGATCTGGTTCTTTTGGGTTTTTGAATTTTATTTTTATTTACTAAATAATAAATTTATTTTTATGAAATTAAAATAATTAAATTATATATATAATTTATTTTATTTGTAAAATATATAAATTTATTAAATTAGAACAGAATAAAAAACATAAATATTATTAATTTAGTTATATATATAAATTTATTTTGAAAATAAAGAAAATATAATGAATTTATTGAAAATTATAAATATAATAAAGTAATAAATTAATTTCTAATAAACATAATAAATATATATACGAAAAATTTATATTTTGTGTAAAAAAACACATATTTTTCTAAGGAATTAATATATTATATATATTTTTTATTTCTATATTATCTACACAATTTTATATACTTCAAGTGAAAAAGATATAATTTTTTCAAATTATTTTACAAAACAAATACACCATTTATATTTGATATCATTCTCAATAAATTTTTTAAATATTTTTTAATAAAAAATATACTACCTCCGTCCACCACTAATCTATTCATTTGTATTTGGCGTCATTGTTTTTAACATTAAAAATATCCTTATATTTGTATAATTTTTTGTACAAATTTTATTTCATTAGTATTATAAGACACCAATAGAAGTGTTTTTGTCGTTTTTCTTTAATTTGTACTATATTTTGATATAATAATTAATATTTAAATATTAACATACAAAAAGTAAATGGATAGATTGACAGTGGACGGAGATAGTATTAATTTCTAATAATTAATAACAAAAAAATTTCAAAATTTATGAACTAAAGAAAAACAAATTGAATATTTTTAAAAAATAATATATGAATATCTTTGTTATTTTATTTATAAACAATTAATATCAAACTATTATGTTATTTTACAAAATATTTTAACATAAATAACTAATTTAATTATCTAACCGCTAAAAAAATATCCGTTAATGTCAAACATATCCTAAATCAACAAGATGATAAGTAGCACAATTAATTTATTATATTATTATTATAATTATTATTATTATTATTATTATCTTTTGGATGACATATTATTATTATTATTATTATTTGTTTTTTTTGGATGACATATTATTATTATTATTATTATTATTATTATTTGGATGACATATTATTTTTTTGAAGATGTGTGTGTGTAAAATGACGTATGATACAGTTCAACACTAGATTGGAAGGGACAAATTAAATATGTATAAATGTAAGGCACCTAACACAAGAAAAATGAATTTGAAGAGTCCATCTCATTATAATAAATTTACTTTGAGAAAAAAATAATAATTAAATAACATAATATTATTATGTAAAATTATTACAAATCATTCATAAAATGTTAACGTTGGGTTTGTTAATTTGTTCAGTCTTTTTCTTTGATTTTTTTTTTAAATTTCTCATAGGAGACATAAAAAATTGTATCGGTAATATAAAAGAATAATATTCTATATTAAATATTGACTTTTGTGAAAAAATTATATATATAGATATATTGAAAATCGCATTGAAAAAAAAAATGGTGTTTTTTAGTATTTCAAATTAAAATCAATGTTATTTAATTTCCACGATTTTAATTAGAATGCACTCCCTCCGTCCCAAAACTATAGTTTGAGTTGTGTTTGACACGAGATTTAAGGAATATTGATATTATATTGACAGTGAGTAAAAAGTACGGATAAAAGACTTTTTTGCCCTTACAAGTATATTAACGTAAAAAGTAGTGGCAATTGTGTAATAATAATGAAAAAGTAGAGGTAGTTTTATAGTGATATGAATATTTATGAAAATAAAACTATTGTTTTGGGACGAACAAAAATGATAAACATGACTATTGTAATGAGAGAAAGAGAATATTATTTTACCTCACAAAATATCTAATCAAAATTATATTTAAATAAAAATTTAAATCAAACATGTCATCTCAAATCACTTTTAAACCATTATTGTTTATATTCTGACAAAATCCTAGTTGGAACCCTATCTTGCCACCTAATAATAATAATAATAATAATAATAATTTAATAATATCATCGAGTTTTCCTATTCATGTTAGAGTTGAAGCCATTAATACATATTGCATAAATATGAACATCATTATTACAATGCATGCATGAACATATATAGACACACACACACCCGTGTTTGTGTGTGTGTGTGCGTGCAGGACTGAAAAATAGACATGCATGCCCAATTAATTGAAACAAAAACATTATTATTATTATTATTATTATTATTATTATTATTATGGGGAATTATTTTGTGTGCATATATGTGTTATTTTAGTTACATAGATGATACTAATTAATATTATTTTGGCAATTTAAGAAAATATTTATCAAGTGTCAATTTTCATAAACACGAATTAATTAGTTTCTCGCATAAAATTAGAACATATATATAGTAACACTGTAATTTTAATATATATATATATATTAAAAAATAATACATCAAATAACTAAATTATTTCATTTACAAAAAAATATGAACCTAAAATGCCAAAATAAAATTAGAATCCAAATCTATGAAATAATTAAGGTGTTATAAGGTCCAAAGTACTGATTAATTTTGAATGAATGATAGTATATATTATATAAATTATTGGTCTGTATTTTTATTTATTGTACTTTTATGATACTACCTCTGGTAAAATTAGAATATTTAGATCGACACATAAATTAAAATAAATAAATATTTTATTGAAAAAATGATAAAAGTAAAAAGATGAGTGAAAATATATTTTTTAAAATTTTAGTTAGTAGTTAATAATGATGAGAGAGAAAATGTAATAAGCGCAACAACAATTGTAGCTGATACATAAGTGTTAAATTAAGTGTAATAGTTAAATATTAAAAATTTTATTTTGTCAAAATTAGTAATAAATTAAATTTAATAAAAAAAAATAAAAAGTGAAAATAAATTTGACAGATGAATAAAGTATTATAAAAACATGTAATACCAATCTATGATATATGAGATATCGATCTCTTTTGAATGTATTATCAATACTCTACTGAATTAACAAAAACAACTTATAATAAAATTTTATTACTCACATAATAATGTTACAATATCCACACAAATAATACAAGCATTTAAATAAAAAAATGTTACACATGAACATATTACATGTGTAGTACATATTCGCACCATTTAATTATTATTGCTTAGGACAAACTTGATCGATCAAACTTTATTACTTCAAAAACTTTATTACTTCAAAAGGGCACCTTAGAAAATGTCCGAGGAGATCATTAGTGGATCTGTATCGTTCAAAATATTACACCAATATCCGATCACTCCATTATCTTCGGTTGATAAATTTTCTTGATTTGTAGTAGCCGTCAAAGAGGGAAGCTCCGAAAAATCTTCAATGAAGCTCGGAAACTTTAAGGATTCGTCATTGTCGCAAAAACTTACCTCACGAACTTGTAGTGAATTCCCCATTATGCCCTTGCCTCCATTGATGTTGTTCGAGCAAGCGCGAGGGTTCCCTAAATAATTCATCTTCTTTGAAGAATCCTCGTGGACAAGTCCAACCGCGGGGGTAATTTTGGAAATGGGCGTGTTGTCTGAAAAGTTCAAGATCGAGGTTGGCGAGTTAAGGTTGCCCCCACGGGCGACGGCCGAGAGTATGTCTTTTCTAGGTTTCATCACTTGCCACGCCTTGAGTATGTCCAAACACGGGGGGCGCGACTCCAAGACCTTTGTCGCGGATTTAATGGCGAAGGATTTACTCGATGACGGGGACTTGGACTCGCGGACAATTCTAGCTTCGGCTTCGAGACGGGTGCTCTCCCATTGCGCCATGTGGCTAAGGTTCGCGATTTCCTTAGGTTGTCCGGGCCCAACCAACGCGCAATTCTTAGGCTTGTGAGTCACTGGGTCAATTCCCATTTTGATCAATCGTTTCTTTAAGTTCGTGTTCCAGTAATTCTTGATCTCGTTGTCTGTTCTATTGGGCAAGTGACTTGCTATGGTTGACCACCTAGGATTAAGATAATATTATAGAAATCAAGATAACACTTTGCTACGCCCGGGAGTATTACTCCCGGGACAACTCTAGGACATGACAATCATCCCGGGAGCAGAACTCCCGGACCATCTGTACACAAATTAAAACCTAGTACATTACAATAAATACCCTAGGGAGAAATATATATAAATCCATCCATCAATCCTTTTTTAGGTACTTAATTTTATTTTTATAAAAAAATTATGTACATTGTTTTACTTAAAACTATTTATAATACTTATTGATAATCTTATATCTATTTTTTTTTTTAATTTAAAAATTACATCTATAATTTAAAATGTATGTTTCAAACACCTCCGAAACAATCCTAAAATACAAATAAATTGGGATTGTATTCGAACCTCTTTTCTTCACATTTATTATTATTCAATTTTCAAAATTTACAAAAAAATATATTATTTTTTAATAAAATATTATGTTGAAATACTACTTAAAATAAAATTTACATCCACATCCACATCCACATCCACTTTTTTTCTATGCTACACTGTAGCACGGTATTTTAGGAGGGGTGTAATTAATAGATAATTAAGAATGTATTAGTGAAAATAATTATCCTATAATATAAATAATTATAAATTAAAATTTAGATAACTTATTAGTTTAATTAAAATTAAAAAAAATTAAAAAGTTTAAAATAAGATTAAAGTGTGTAATCATTTTCAAAAAAAGAAAAATGACATGGAATGTTGGACAGACAAAAACGACAAATAGACATGGTATGTGGGACGGAGGGAGTATTTTTCTGTCCATACAACTCTCAGAATCAATATATTATTTATTTTTAATAAAATACAATGTGAAAATACTATTTAAATCAAACTTAAATTCAAATCAAAACCAAACAATCCTTTGATTTTGAAACTTTTAGAAATGAAAATAGAAGTTGGGCATAATCTTTTGATCAAAATATAAAATAAACTTCGAATATTATACTAAACATAAATTATCTATATATATATATATTTGTACCATATATGGATGAATTATCAATTAAAGATCACCACAGTAAATAGGTATAGTACAGAGAGAAATTAATAAAATATGCAACAACAATAATAATAATAATAATAATAATAATAATAATAATAATTAAAATAATAATAATAATAATAATAATTAAAATAATAAATCAAGAAAATAATTAAATAATAATTAATTAGTGCCTGTTTCCAAGAAGGGCATGGAGCTGAAGAATAGTCTGATCTTCTTGCAAGCTGAATTTGCCTCTTTTCACGTCTGGCCTAAGATAATTCGTCCATCTCAACCTGCAGCTCTTCCCACACCTCTTCAACCCTAATTTATTAATTAATTTATTTGCATGCACAATTAATTAATAAAAAATATCAATTAAAGACAAAACCCTTATATATATATATATGCATTATGCTATATCTAATTAATTTACAAAATTAAAATTGAAATAAATAGGTTAGATGATGTAAACGATCGTCGTACATAAAAGTTTAAACTGTAAGAATACATATAATTTATTTATTTATCTATAAACGAAAATCAACCAGTAAAATAAATAAATAAAATACCAGCTTTAGGGGGGAGAGCTCTCCAGCTTCCATGGCCATGGCAAAGAATGTAAGAAAGAAGTTTGTTGTCTTCCTCAGGTGTCCATGGCCCTTTCTTCAACCCCATCTTCTTGTCGCAGCACGGCGACCTCCCCATCCTTGTATCTATATCAATATCAATATCAATATCAATATCGATATATATATACTTATGTGTGTTTGTGTATATATGCACAAAGTCGAGAATTTAATGTGTTTGTTGGCATTTCTTGGGGTGCAAAAGGTGAAATTCCCTCGCCCTAGGACCCGGAGGAGGGTAGGGATTTAGTCGTGGCGACGACAATGAGTGAGAGGACCGGGACCGGAGGTGAAATTAATTTCTATACTTCGGCCATAGGGATTTGATCATGTGTTGTTGTTTCGTATCGACCTGGCTAATTTTTGTAGAATATTTGTTAAAAATTTGCTAACTTTTAATCCCAAATTCATTTTCTAGTTTTGCTTTTAGTGGTTTTTTTTAGATTAGTCAGTTTTTGGATATTGATTGGCTCAAATTAGTATAATGCTGATTTGACTTAGTTATGATATCTATATAAGACAAACAATCTATAATTTACAGCACATAATATTATAATATACAACATAGTAATCCCTTCGTCCCACCATATCTATTTATTCATTTACTTTTTGCATGAAGTTTTAGAAATATTAGTATTATATTTGGATAAATAGAATTAAAGGTAAAATTACTAAATTAACCCTATTAGTATTGTATGATATAAAAGTAATGATATTTGTGTAATATATTGTAAATTGGAAGGGTATTTGTAATGTTAAATAGATAGTACAATTACTAAAAAAAAGAAAATGGATACTTTGTTATGGGACAGACCAAAATGAAAAAAATGAATAAATTATTAAGGGATAGGAGAAGTATATTATTGGGGTGTGTTTGTTTGAAGGATTTTGGAGGATTTCCACTATTCATCCAATTTTTTCCCCCCAAAAACATCAAATCAAACACCTATTTTTCATTTTTTATATTATACTAAAAATCAATTTTACATTCAAAACATCACATCAAACCCTATTTATATCACATCATACAACTATTCAAATTCAAAATTTTTACTATTCAAATCCCAATCCAAAATCCAAACCCCCAAACAAACACACCCTTGGTTTTCAATACAATAAACATAGATATACATCTCAATATATACTATAAATGGTATGTCACATACTTCTGTATAGTACAATATTATATTGTGTTATATAGAATCAGTGCTATATACTTCGCCGTTAGGGTTTCTAATTGCCATATTTTAGATTATACTTCCTCCGTCCCAGATATCATATCCATGTTGCCGTTTTTGTCCGTCCCACATACCATGTCACTTTCATTTTTTGGAAAATGATTACACACTTTAATCTCATTTTAAATTTTAATTTTTTTTAATTTTAATTAAACTAATTAGTTATTTTAATCTTAATTTATAATTATTTATATTATAGGATAATTATTTTCACTAATACATTCTTAATTATCTACTAATTACACCCCTCCTAAAATACCGTGTCTACCGTGTAGCAAACACGGTATCTGGGACGGAGGAAGTATAATTTTAATAGTTTTAGATTCAATCCATATTTCTTTTTATTTAATTTAATAGAATTTGTTGTGATGTTTTATAAAAAAAAAATATTAATTTTTTATTGAGAATCCGGACTAATAGTAATTTTGATATAATGAAACCGAAAAATCAGCAAACCCTAAAATTGTTGTTTTTTTTTTTTAATGTTTGAATATATTATAAATAGAATATATTTGTTTCTATAATATTCTTTTAAAAGGAATAGAAGTTTTAAAACATCTTGAAGTAAAAAGACTAAAAAAATTGAAATAAAAATAATATATATTGTATATAAAAAATCATTTTTATTTAAAACCATCACTTTCAAAACTTCTTTTTCAGTGCATAAATTAAAGGCACCAAAATATTTTGGTTTTATGGCAAGTAATGTGGTTATTGCACATGGTATGATGGATGTTTTTGTTTTTTATTTTTTAAATTATAAGTAAATATATTAAATATAATACTCCCTCCGTTGAGAGGACGACGTCTGGTTTTTACACATATATTTTTTAATATTAATATTATATTAAATTGTAGTAAAAAAGACAAAACTATTCCTATTAGTATGGTGTAATATAAAAATAATGGCATTTGTGTAATATATCGTAAGTTGAAAGGATATTTATTATGTTAAGTAGGTAATACAATTACTAAATTAGAAAATAATAACCTTGTTTTGGGACGAACAAGAATAAAAAATAGTAACCTTTCAATGAATAGTATATATAATTTTAAAGAAATATGTAAATATTTTCTCCTAAATTAAGCTAATAATGTTTTTCTTGTATGTAAAAAGGACAGACAGGCAGCTACCTAGCTAGTTTAGGGTTTCATACAAGGGTGGCCTCTTAATGGGCGCTCCCGGGACCTCAACACCAGATGCATGAGGAGCCAGCTACGTTCATTAATTTATCACAATGTATTTTAAAAACTCAACCCATAATGTTTTTGAGATTTATTTTAATTATATTTGTGTATATATATATATATATATCAATTAAGTTATATATCTAAAAAATGATCGTGTGTGCCATTTTGGTATTTTATTATAATTTTATGGTAAATTATATAACACTTTTTGTGTTTTAGTAAAAATGAACAAAATACTCTGTTTTATTTATTATGTGAAATTCTCTTGTGTTAACGTAAAGTTTGCATAACACACCCTCCTTGTCCAAAACTGATGTTCAGATCTAAATAAAGATATAAATTACGCAAATTTTATATAAATAAAAAATGTAAAATATGTTAAATAATTTATTTGCATAAAACAAACAAACAAATAAATAATTCTTCATTTGATAGTTTTTTAAGACAAATTGTCATCTGATTTTTACAAAAATTATAAAAATAAATTATTGATTAATTATTTATTTATTTATTTTATTCAAAAAAATTATTTAAGATATTTTACATTTTTTATTTTTATAAAATTTGCATAATTTAGGTCTTTATTTATAACCAAATATTAGTTTTGAACAATGAGGGTGTTTCGTGCAAATTTTACATTAATACAAGGGAGATTCACGCAATAAATAAAACATAAGGTGTTTTGTGTATTTTTACTAAAATACAAGAGAGTGTTATATAATTTATCTTTTTTTTTTTCTATTTTGTTTTTATATATTTTGAAGTAAAATAGTTGTAATTAATTCAATTTATGATCATGTCGACGCTTTTGAAAAAACGTAATTAGGGTTTGAGTTTTCTTTTTGTGTTTTTAAAATAGTAAAATTTTAAATTGAAAAAAAAATTATAAATATATGTATAATATTAAAATATACTTCTTTTATCATTTAATTATGTGCTCAAATATTTGGATACACAATATTGTATAATGATTGTTACTTTTTTCTATTTGTAGTAAAAATTTAGTATAAAAACATGATGTATTTCTTGCTAAAAAATAAAAAAATATATATATTTTTTATAACAATCCAAAAAAAATGTGAATTGGATGAAAAAAAGAAAGTATATATATATTTTTATTGTATGTATTTAAATTTGAGTTTTTTATTTAAATATATTTTAATACTCCCTCCGTCTCATTGAAAGGTTGCCATTTTTTATTTTCGTCCGTCTCAAAACAAGGTTACTATTTCCTAATTTAGTAATTGTACTGTCTACCTAACATAATAAATACACTTCCAACTTATACTATATTACACAAATATCCTTACTTTTATATTACACAATACTAATAGGGATATTTTTATCTTTTTCACCATAACCCATTATAATACTAATATTCAAAAATCTACGTGCAAAAAGTAAACAGCAACCTTGCACCGGATGGAGGGAGCACGATATTTTATAAAAAAAAATAATATATTTTTATTCACAATAGAACTACACAAACTTTAAAAAAATAAATAATGAAAATATTATTTTTTATTATATATATATATGTGTGTAAGTATATTTATTAATTAGTTTATTTACCCAACAAAGTTGATTGTACAGATTGTAATATATCCCCACAGAATATTTACCATTACTTGTCCCGAAATATTTATTTCATTCTTACCGAACCAAGATTTATATATATATATATATATATGGTACCATTCCATAATTTAACTTATTCAGTTTTTGTGTGTCCATAACTATTGAAAAAATGTGTCTAAATTCTCAAGATAAAATAAATTAGGGTTTGTTCAATTTATTATTATTATTTTTTTCTATCATGCATTTTTCTTTCTATTCAAGCTTTTAATTAATGTTCAAAAATAATGTATCCAATATATTTTTTTTTTCCATAAAAAATATTACATTCAATAACTATTAACTATTTTACATTATAAATATTAAAAACTAAAACAAGAAAACCCTAATGGTGTGTTCTTTTATTTTAATTTTCAAGCTAGGTAAAGCTCCATTTAAATAGAGATATTTAATGTGCGTTTTTCTAACTTTTGGTTTTCATTTTGGTTTTTAGACAAAATAGTAACTGGATATGAAGTTTTATATAAAAAAATAAGTATGTTTTTATTAAAAATAAGGAAGCATAATAATAATAATAATAATAATAATAATAATAATAATAATAAGGGAAAAAATCATTTTTGGTTTTAATATAACCAAAATTCATCAATTTTGGTCTCAATATAACCAAAACTCATCATTTTTTTGCCCTAATCTCATCATTTTTGGTCTCAATATAAATTTTTTTATCAATTTTAGTCCTAATATAACCAAAACTCATCATTTTTTGTCCCAATATAATCAAATCTTATCTTTTTTTGTTCCACCGTCAACAAACCGATGGAAATTGCTGCAAGATTATGCAATTTCTTCAAATATAAATATAAGATTTGATTTCTTTTCACGTCAGCATTTTTCGTCGGTTTTGTTGACGGTGTGGGACAAAAAAAAAGGTTTGATTGTATTGGGACAAAAAATGATGATTTTTTGTTATATTGAGACTAAAATTGATAAAAACCTTATATTGGGACAAAAAATAATGAGTTTTAGTTATATTGAGACCAAAATTGATAAGATTTTTATATTGTGACCAAAA